AACCAGTAAGAAGATTATCTGCTTTAAGAACTGCTTATTGATTTGCAAACTTGAACATGCCAACAAAGTATTGAATGTACCTTCTTAATCGTATACCAATAGGAGTTAAGGACTGGTTTTGGAAAATATATAAAGAGTAAAGTAAGTTTTTGTCATGAACAACTCTGGTTCTGCTTACAAAGTATGCATCTTTGACTAGCATTATCGTAAAACAAGAAGGCCCCTAATGAACTGAAGTTAGAGTTCTCAGTTGACTGAACGGTAAAATAGGGGAATTTTTATGTGATGGAAATAATACAAGAAAATAATATAAGAAAGGGTCTCAGAAATCAGAAATAGACATCTGCGGATCGGCCCACCCTATCCACCAAACCTAGAATACAGGCATATAAGTATATAACTAAAAATATATATAGCGCATAGTAATGTAGAACAAATCCCTGAATTAAGAGTCTCAAGACGCAATGTTGGATTCCCCACCAAACAAACAAGATTCCTTTTTTTTCACATGGGGACAAAATAGTTGAACACTTGGACTCGATATGAAAGACTAGTAGAATATAAACAATGATTTTAGATTTGCAATGAGATTGACAGGTGGAGAGAACTTTATAACAGAATCGATGTGATAATAAGGTGATATATTTGTCCTTTTAACACCATTTTCTTTGGACTCTTGTAAGCTTCGCGGAAGCTTCCTTGACGGTCGCGGTCAGGTTGGCCCTGATAATTTGGTCTTTTCCTCCCTAATAAAGCTGAGTATACAAGTCAACATGATACGGCCGTATTGTGCGTCCGTGCCCAGTACCGCGAAGAAATAGCATAAATATCCTGCTTTTGTGGCTTTGATTGTTTGGGTGGCAGCGATTCAAACAAAGTGTATTATTGTCATACAATCTGATGGCAACCGGCAAGACAAGACCAACAACGGTTACTGAATACTGAACATGCCCAAACCAAAAGCAGTTTGTTTTTTTTTTAATCAAAGTGTTGTTCTTGCTAGGCAAATCGACTCACGATGAGATGCAGTGAAGAACGAAGTGATGGCGGAAAGGAGAATGGATGAATTAGGGCGGGGTAGTTCGTGGTTGGTTAGTACCTGGGTGGAGCGGACCTTGGCCTTGTCCAAGGAGCGGCGGTCGAGGTCGGGCACCCAGCGGAAGCGGCGGCGGCGGTTCTTGACGATGGTGCCAACGGCTTGCCGCCATCGCCGCTGCGCCTCCTCCGACGGGTTCTTGGCCGGCACATCGAAGTGCTCCTGCAGGTACCTGTCAAGCTTCTCCATCCCCGGCCGGTGAGCACGCTCACGCTCACGCACACGAAGCGCAGTCCACCACTCCACTACTAGTACTCTTTTCTGCCCGGCCGGAGAGGAAGGGGAGAGAGGGAGAGGAGTTTTTTTTTCCCTTCAAAGTCCAAAAGCTTTCAACTTGGCCTAAAACAAGGAGACAACTGGCTCTGCGCCTGTATGGTCTGGGGATAAAGAATATGGAAACGGCAGGCGATCGGATCTCCATTTTCCTAACTTAAAATTTTCCTCTCCAGTGTGTATGCCTATGGCCTCGAACACTAGTTTGTAGGTTGAAATTTTCTTTTGTTTTTGACGAGAGATCGATGTGGTATTGACCAGGAGATTGCTACAACTTTCCGTTCACTTTTTCGTGTGGTATGGGCAGCTGATTTTGCTTGACTTGGTGTGTCCGTCCTCTGATGGATGAGCAGTTGAGCACAGTAACTAGGCGATAATAGTGAGAAATCACCAAAATTATAAGTCGCCGCAGTAGTAGTTGCAAAGCGAAGCAACATGCACATTGAACGGGGGTACACTGCTCTCCAACTTGCCGCTGCCGCCAGCGAGCGCGGGGCTTGCCGCCTATCATGCACGATATGTGATACTGGTAGGGCAATACGGATAAGTTGATACGGAGATTTTTAAAACATTAATATGACGATACAGGAAATTTCAAAAACATCGATACGGCGAGTATATATAAAAGTATTTTTAAAAACTAAAGTATAAGGAACCGTGTAAAACAATAAGATTGCCTTAAGAGCAGGTACAATAGCAGGCTATAAGCCAGCTATAAATATATTTTAAAGAGATAAAGGAAGAGAGAGAAGAGCAGCGGGCTACATATCTGTAACCATCTGCAGTACGAACTTCAAGACGTAATATGTGTATGACAGGTAGGACCAGGTATTAATAATATAGTAAGCAACTATTGTATGAATTGGCTACTCCCTCTGTCCCAAAATAAGTGCAGTTTTAGCACTGTTCATGAACAACGTTTGACCGTTCGTCTTATTTGAAAAAAATTATGATTAGTATTTTTATTGTTATTATATGGTAAAACATTAATAGTACTTTATGTGTGACTAATTTTTTTAACTTTTTTCATAAATTTTTCAAATAAGACGGACGGTCAAAACGCTGAGCACGGATATTTATGGCTGCACTTATTTTGGGACGGAGATAGTATTACATTGGTTAGAGATGAATTGGAGTTAGTAGTTGGCTATACTATTATTAAACTTGCTCTAATAGAAGAATATTCTATGCATTGTTGCCTGTTACAAACAATCAACAAACTTAACACCTTGTAACCTTATATAATAAACATGGCCAGCATTAAACCTATAAATATATTAATAGTGTACCATTAGGTTTTTAATGGTCTATTGAAAAGGTGGTTACATGACTAGGTATCAGAGAAGTATCCAATAAGTATCGTGCGAGTATCGCTAATTATTTTTTATTTTTTCGATGGTCAGTGGCCGATACTCCTTTGACGTCGTATCGTTAGAGTATCGGACATATCACCGTATTGGATACACATACCGGTACGACAAGAAAATGAAGTATTGATGTTTTCACGGCTTGCTGCAACTCCGGAGGTCTAGTTCCAGGATATTGGAAGTTTGGAACTAGGTAATCGGTGGCCGTTGGACGGGAAGAGCTCCCTCTCCTAAAGACCCTCCTTGGCTATCGCTTCAACATAGGGGAGGTCGAGATGGGACCCTCCGCGCCCTCATCCTCTACACATCCACTTCTGGGCCACATGGGCCAAACACACACTACTAGGCTTCAAACGGGCTGGGGTGTTACAGGTCGAGATTGCCGATTGGGCCAAGAAAATAGTAGTTTTTATGTGAAAGGCTGGGAATCGCGACTAGGTTGGAAAGGTGCTGCAAATCCAAAGGAATTGAGAAGCAGAAAACATGAGGAGAAAAGGAGAAATCGATTTCATGCGAGGAAAAGGGATCTAGCTGGTGAGGACTTTACCTCAGCGTACTCAGCCGATGGCGCAGTAGAAGGGCTGGTGGACGACGACATCGTCGCGGGCGGAGATTTGGTCGGGAACGAAATCGCCTGGGGATCGCCTTGTGCGTCAGGAAGATCGCCGAAGAGAGAAAGGGCAAAGTTGGTTTCAGTGGTGAAAACGGAGGAGGACGGTGTGAGATTTCTCGAGGGTAACGGTTAGTATTTAAAGCACGGCAGTAACGGTCGAAAAACGGCAAAGTGCGAAACTTGCTCGCAGTCGATTTACAGCAAATCGGAAATATTATCAAATATTCCGGACTTGGGGGGCATGTGTTAACAACCAAATTTGGTAATATCGGCATCGGGAAAGAAGATTAGATCGAAGCAAAGTTGGAGGCGGAGATCGAGTTCGGAAACAGAGCAGGAATCGGCTGGAGTCCAAATCGGCTACGATTAGGATCGGCTGGGTCTGAGTCGGGCTAGGTAAGCCGATGCAGCCGATTCCGACAATGCAACTTGATGTATGACATCGGGTTGAATTGAGGTGCTTCAAGGTGATTGCCGCACATGGATAGAGTCCTGAGAAGGCAATTGTATCTATTAATTAGGATGTTTTATGTAATTTCCTTAGAGATATGCTTGAGCAAAAGTCTGCCGCAAAGACTTATGGTATCTTAGAGTTTGTTAGAGATAATTGTCGTGTCCGTTATGGACATATCTTGTAATTTTCGTGTATAAATAGACCCGAGCCCTATGTAACTTTTAACACACACGTTCAATACAATCTCGGCGCATCGCCACCTTTTTTGCTTTAGTTTTATTTCGACGAGTTCTTGCTTTCGGGTTGAGCTGCATCGGTTTCGATCTTCAACAAGAGGTAAAACTTGTTATGGCGGCTTGCGTTCTCGGGATTAGTGCTTCCATCTTTATGATGCTCTAATCTTGTTTATGTAATTCGTCGAGTTATCATATATCCTATATAATCCTTGGCAATATCGATATCCAACCTATAATCGGCTAACATCCGTCAATAGAAGGTAGCCGATTAGGTTAAATACCGATGTTGACTTAGATTATATAGGATATCTATCACTCTATGACACATCCAACGGCTTGATTGTCTAGATATTGTCCTTCTTTTCATACTTATAGCTGCATCAGTTAAGTTTGATCTTATGAGTCGTGATTAGAATCTCAATCTCTAGCCCGCTTCTTAGTTGCTGATTAGGGTAGTATCGGAGTTTCAGCCGATCTTACCTGATTTAACTACTTTTTATCCTATATGCTTGATTGACATGTTAAATCTGCCCTTTACGTTAAGATCTTGCTGCATTTAAGTATATTAGGCTTTTGTTTAGTATATTCTACTTGCTTTAATATCTTAATATAGAGTGGTATCGGAGTATTAGCCGATACATGCTAGATCTATCTGATCGGCTATGCTATGAACGTATATAGTCTCATCATTAATATATATTTCGATCTAAGTGATTTGTACTGTCTCGGCATGGCGACCGATCTATCCCAATCACTTGATTTAAGTATATATCGATATAAAGATTATATATTGGTAATATCTGCAGCCGATCGAGTAGATTCAGTCCTTTCTTATTTATTAATGACTGCCGATCGATGCATATACGACATCGGCTCAAAGATAAATGATATGTCATCGGCACCTAGCCGATCGGCTATCATTTATAGATTTAACTGCGGTTTCTTTACTTCTATTTATTGTTGATTACAGGATCAAATCAACTGGCAAGCTCATACATTCGAAGGCGAGCTTTGGACCTGCACTGGAGTTAAGCAGATCTCCCAGGCCTCGTGTTTTCTGTCAACAACAACCACATTACATAATCAAGAAATCGAATAATAATTTCATATAACTAGACTAAGCAATGCTTTAAGATGTGAAAGGAGTTTTATGCTATGATTTAGTAGTCGTCGAGAGTTATATTGCTCATAGTTTTAGGCTCAATGAACGGGTTTTTTCTACCCACGGGTTGGTGGGTATGGGTGGGTAAAGAACAGACCCATACCCACGTACCCAATGGGTAAGAGTTTTCGCCCGTTAGTAGACCCAGGGTATAAGAGTTAGAACACGATTAGCTCCTAATAGAGTAAAAACCCGTCGGGTCTCGGGTTATGGGTACCCATTGCCATCTCTACTTCCTCCTAGCCACCACCACACCTTGTGCGTACTACTCATGCGGCCCCCTTAATTACTACACCAATCTCCTTCTCTTTTGAGGCTAACAAGTGGGCACGAGCATGTGCCACATAAGTGAAAGCAGCGGAAAATGAGGTCTAAATTGTCATGGGATCCAACTTGCATGGTTTTGTATAGTTTGGGGTGAAGATTTCTGGTATTGAGTATATGGGATGTAAAATCAAACTCAACTAAAGTTGAGGAAGGGCGAGTGGACTTAATCCCTCACACAATATTTTCAGATAAAAAGTGAGACTTAAATGTTTTCATGGCCCATGATATTTTTTAGTTTTTATGGAGGGAAAAATACATCGAAGGTCCCTCAACTTGTCATCGAGTTACAAAATCGTCCTTGAACTGCAAAAACTGATACAACGCATCCCTCGACTTACAAAACTAGTGCAAACTAGGTCCCTCGGCAGTTTTGACTCCGGTTTTGTTCGACGTGGCAGCTAACTCAGCGTGGGACCCACGTGGGTCCCACATGCCAGCCTCTTCTTCCTCTCCCCTCTCCACCTTTCTTCCTCTCTCTCTCCTCTTCTTTTCTTTCACTGGCAGCGTAGCCTGCGGGTAGGGAGGAGGCTGGTAGGGGAGGCGGGAGTCCGGCGGCGAGGCGGCAACAGCGGTGACAACGTGACGACGGGTGACGAGGCGGCGGCGATGACGACGCGGGAGTAGGAGGGCCTCCCCCACGCCGCCGCCACTGCCATCTCCGACGGCGCGGGCGCTAGATCCCGCCGACATGGACGGCCGCCATGGCTCCTCGTTGATGGCGCGGGTGAACATGTCCTCCGCGCTGCGAGGTCACCGCGGGCGTGCCACATAAACAGCCCATACCTCCTCATTGCCTCGCCGTCCACCGACTTCGCCGCCACCACCTGCTTGAGAGGATGAGAGGTGGAAATGGGAGGGGAAGAAGAGGCTGACATGGTGAGTCCCACGCTATGTCAACTGCCACGTTGGATAAAACCGGAGTCAAACCGAGAGTCCTAGTTTGCACTGATTTTATAAGTTGAGGGATGTCTTGTATCCGGTTTTACGGTTTGAGGATGATTTTGTAAGTTAAGGAATGCGTTGTATTCGATGACAAGTTGAGGGACCTTCGGTCTACTTTTTCCTTTCACGGACTCTCAAGGCTGGGCCTTTCTGGGCCTTCTGCTGTAGTATTTGGTCCGTGGACCGACCGAAAGCTCGCTACCGATTCCTGCGTGATGTCGCTGCGCCGCCTGGCCGCGTCCGCCCTGCGCCGCGGCGGCGCCAACGACGGCGGCGTGCTGGCCGCCGTCCGCGCCGAGATCGCTCATGAGCTCTCCTCCTCCCCCTCCTCCTCTCCTCCGTCGCTCCAATCCCAGGTACCCACCACCGCATGCTGCCTCGCCCCCAAATCCAGCGCCACTCACTCCCCCCTCGTTCTCGCAGGACATTCCTGATTTCTCCACCGTGTCGGACGCGCCGCGCGGGCAGGAGGTGCTCCTGCGCCGCCGGGATGCTTCCGAGGAGGTCCTCGTGTCGGCGGTGCTCGCGCCGCTGCGGTTCGAAGGGGAGGAGCCCCTGCCCAGGGACGCGCTCATGAAGGTGTTCGTCAGTAAGCCTGATGTGAAGCCGGTGATGCGGTTCGATTGCCGCGCGTTTGCAGCTGAAGGTGATGGCGGCTCTGCTGACTATGATGTTACTGCTGTTTGTTACCACCCGTTTGCTGGCGAGTGCGACGCTGGGGAAGACAAGTATGAAGGGCCGGAGTTCAGGTGATTACTTCTTCATTTGTGTGGTTAACTTGTGTGGATATTGCCATGCGTGCAGTGGGCTCATAAGCTGGGAGTTCCTGCAAGAAATCTGGAAACAACAAGCACTTTCATGACACTTTAGTAGTTTAGTGGAGTTCTGTAATTCTAGTGATCGTTACAAAAAAATTAGTGTGCTGAGAGCCGAGAGCCTACGCCCTCATATGAAATTCATTACCACTATCTTCTCTTCCTACGAAATAAAAGGAACACCTGTATTTTTCTTGTGGTAGTAGTGTGCTGATTGTTAACGAAATTGTCGTACAACAGACTAACAGAGTGTCAGAGTATCCTGGTTTGTTTTATTATGTTTATGGAAATTAACTATTAGTTGTCAACCCCCATCGACTTGTCTAGAAAATTTATAATGGGGACAGTATGACCGCTGACCAAAATCTAAAGGATTGCACCACTAATTACTATCTGGACAGACTGGACTGTAGGGTTGAATAGTTATTTATCTTGTAATGTTTTGACAGTGAACCAAGTATCTGCCCTTGTTCTTCAATCCATGCTAAGCCGCATGGTCTTCATTTGCTAGAATATCTAGTTACCTACCCTTTTGTTAAAAGTTCATCAATGCAGAATTCTCTTACATCCCACTCTTGATGGAGGGATTTTGAAAGGAACTTTGGTAAATTTGGTGGCGAGGTCTCACGAATTCCTGTTCTCCACTACTCATAAAACTGCTGCTTGCGCTTGCAACAAAATTTAGATGGTGTATTCTGTTAGAGTTTTTTTTTTTTATGTTGGCTTGCAATGGCATGTCCATATCTGTTCAACGTGACAACGTGAATGTGGCTGGCTGCAGATGAATTGGTTAAAACATATCGATTGCTTGGCCATACTATGAGTATGCTCATGCTAAAAGTTGGAAACTTCACTTATTCATTTCCATTTGTTTATAGAGAAACTTGTTGGTTGAAAATGCTTTATGTCATAAGGGTATTGCTGATCTTTTTGGAGGTACAACTGTAGTAACAACCAACTAAACAGCAGACAGTTATAAAAGTATGAAAATTGATACTTGGTTTTGGATTAAAATAGATACACTAAAATAGATGAGAACGAATGTTCCACTTTATTCTATTTCAACAATTTCTTATCTCTACTTGGGTTTTTTTTTATTTTATTGTGTTGACTGGATTGAAGCGAGCTAGTACAGATTTATAGCGTCATGTGTTAACCTGGGACTAGGCTATGCTCTAAGGCTCATCACTACAGGTGTTTCTGTTGTTAGCAAAATGACCTCAGAGCCTGTCATCTCAAATAGATAACGTCATAATGTGATTGGTTAGGGACTCAGCAGTCTATTTTTCTAGGCAATGAGGATTGTTGGTAGTTAAAGTAACCTTAGAGCATGACCAACAGCTCCCTTATACTACTCCCATTACCAAATTAAGGGGTTTTGCATGAAAAATCTCTCCAACAGTAGACGTAAACCACCCCTAAAAATTTAGCATTTCTAATCCCGCGTATATCGCTCTCGACTTGTAGGGGAGAGGCGCGGCGTCCAATCCTTCTATCGCAGTCTCTTCGCGCATGTTGGGCGAAAATAATCCCGCTAGGCTCTTCTTTGCGCCCTCGTCTGCCGGCGAGTAGATCTGTTCCGCCGGCCTTATCTTCCCTGCAGCTGTTGGGAAAGCAGCCATCGCTCCCCCAAGCTACCCCGCGTCGGCATTTTTTCCAGAAGCGGCACGTGTTCCGGCAGCACCAGTCCCATCTCCACCTAGCCAGGTGCGCTTCCCAAGCACCACCACCGCTTCGATTCAGCCAGCCACCCGATTCGCCTCCAATCGGCCCTCTGCCCCGTCGCGTCTCGCAGCCGCCTTCCCCTATGTCGGATTGGTGCCACCCTGTCCCGGCCACCCAAGCCATCTGGTAACATGCAGGCAACAAAGGCCTGATGCGACCAGCCAGCTTCCGCCGGAGATGCCCAGTCACTGGACTTCATCGAGCACGACTCGCCTGGAGTCGATTTCTGTACAAATTGCTCTTTGGGTGATAAAGCGAATTTCGTCCGTCGAAACTTTGCTCTTGCACAGTTGCAGTATTGCTTAAACTTGCTCTAGGTTGGTTTAGTGGCATTCAAAGATTTATTCATGTCCATTAATAACATAGTTGTTATCTCCACAATATTTGACCACAAATGGACCCATGTATGTATTTTCAACATTGGATGATTAACTGCTATTGGTGAGTGATTTTTTGTTTCAATTCAGTGATGGAACATGGCTGTTCGTTGGCTTGCTGAAATGTTTCTTACTATTGCTGAAAACAGATTGTTGCTGCTCTGCTCAAATCTTCTGCTTTGCTGTTGTTGGGAACTGCTTGGTGTTGGTGCTGAAATATGCTGTTGCTGGCTTATGAAAATTGTTGCTTGTTATAGCTGAAAAATTCTGCTTTTTGGTGCTGAAAATTTCTGTTTTTTCCTGCTGAAAACTGCTGCTTGCTGGTGCTGAAAATTACTGTTGCAGCTGCTGAAATATCTTGCCGCTTGCAAAACTCCTCTTTTTTTTGCTGCTGAAATTCATATGAAGCAGTTCAGTGTGAGAAGATTCCCAGTTCGCAGTTTAGCTCTTGGTTTCATATATGTTTTGTCTACTCCGCATTTAGGCCATGATCAACTCCATGTTGTTAACACCATTGACATAAAAAGGCTGGAGTTTTTGACTGGGTTAACACTCCACTGTTGATTATTGCAGAACCAATATTTTTTTTCCATGTAAAATACAGGAGATCTTGCTAATCATCAAGTGAAACGTGGATTCCCAGAGATGTCGCCGTGCTAATAATCAAGTGAAATATGATTTTGGGCCAAATACTCATATGGCAGCTGAAGCCAATGAAAGCATTGTTCAATGCTTCAACTGTAAGTTATGATGTCAAGGAGATTGAACGTCCTGAAGAAAAAATGGTGAAACGGATGACGGGATGCCACGCTCGGAGGGAGTACGTCACGTGCCACGGAGGAGGGCACAGTGCGCAACGCATGTGAGGGGGGAAGAGAGGAACTACAATTTTGTTGTTGGTAGTTTTCTAGCTGGCCCACTTTATTTGTTTGGAGAGTTGAATTTTGGGTATCTCTTGGAGATAAAGATATATTCATGCCTTATATCCTTTTTAGAGATCTCAAAATAATAATTTAGGGGATTGATTTGGGTGGCTGTTGGCCATGCTCTTAAGCATTACATGTATCCCTTGCTATCTGGTTGAATGGTGAGCATTTTGTGTTTGCTGAGCTATAATGTTTACATATTTCTTTTTACTTATGAAAGTTGACTGTATCGTTGCTACTCTGAAGGGGCCTATTTCTGTTCCCTTAAACAATCAAAGAGCCTTTGATTCCTTTTTTGGGGATATAAGAGGGTAGAGGGGTCTATATTCCTGTTGTTTTAATTAGGATCATTGCAAGCGTGATTTCCTTCTACCTATTTGCAATCAATGACTATGCTTCCCTTTTTCTTTTTGCAGAAATTTGGATCCGCAGTTACAGGTTGCATTGAAAGGGTATATGGTGGCAAGAGGCGTTAACTCCAAACTGGCAAGCTTACTTCACCACCATTTGGTTGAGAAGGAGCGGTGGCAATATATGAACTGGCTGAAAACTTTGGAAGAAATGTTCAGCAAAGATCATTGACAAAATATTTCCAGTACCGAAGACCATTAAATTGTTCCAGTCAAATGCGCACACTTTTGTTGTGACAAACTGGCAATGCATAGATGCTAGCTTCGGAATGCAATTGCGGTGCTTAATTTAGTTTCGTGGAATGAACCACGAAATCACCATACTTTGCTCGAATCTAAATTTTTTTATTTCGAGCTTGCAATGGAGGGAATTTGCTGAAATTTTGACAAATTGACCCTTTTACAAAACTTATTTTAAGAATAACCTATATCAAAAACTAATTCCAAAAATCAACCGTGACCTTAGCGTCAATCCTGATGGCGCTAAGATATAATATCTCAGCGTCAAAGGTGTTGGCGCTGATACGAGGAGGCACGAAATTGCCCCGTGAAGTGCTGAGCTCTGTTCTGGATATAATGGGTGCGCAGGACAAGTAAACGACAAAGGAGCGCTAGCTTGTTGGTATTGAGTTTCCTCACTTGACTCTACCTTGTTCTATTGCTTTTCTTTTAAAATATCACATGTTTTGTTACTTTACTTTAAATTTAGGCAAACAATTTGAGAACTTATATTATAATATTAATGATAATTTATCTCACTAGCTATAAATTTCCAGTTTTTTTTAACTTGGAATGACAACACATTTTCCTTAATTTAAAAACAATAATACTATTTAGTTTAATAATAATAAGTTTGCATCTTTTCAGTCTTAATTTAAAAATAAAATGAATTTAAAATGCAATTGAAATTTCACAAGAAAATTAAAATTTTGCATTTTTTACTTGGAAGGACCAAATTTGACTACTTCAATTATATAGCATTTGCCTTAATTTAAAAATAATAATAATAAATTTGATAATAATAAATTTGCATATTTTCGGTCTTAATTTAAAAATAAAACGAATTTAAAATACACTTGAACTTTTAAAAGAAAATTAAAATACAGTAGCAATTTGGAACTAAGTGGATAAAACAATGCAAACATGAAGGACTAAGGACCACCACTAAACCTCTTCCACAAGTTAGGTATCCTGAACCTAGGTCAGCACCAGCTACTATGGGGAAGACGGGAAGTATCCGGTGCAATCATCTAATTCGGTGCAACTATGCAACTCTTATCCTACATCGTTGGATCGAGAAATGGACGTCCGAGATTTGTCCATTTTAACTCATGCGAATGGAAATTGTTTTACATTTTGTGTGTTGAAAACGTGAGAAACAATGAAGATTGTAACGAATGGCCATGGTTTGAAATGTTTTACATTTTGTTGTGTGGTAAAACATTTTCCACCCAAATATTTTGGGTGAATAGTCAGTTCAGTCCTTCAACTTTTGCTCAGAGGTCGAATTAGTCCTTCATGTTTTATAATGTCCAAACAGGACCCTAAAGATTATCATGCGGCTTAATATAGTCTTTAGACCCACTTAAAACGCCACATGAACATGCCACGTCATTCGTGCATGCAAGATAACATTTAAATGTCTATTTTAACCTTCAATTTTCTATCAAATAAAGAAAAGAAAAACAAGAAGAAGCAATCATAAAACAAAAAATGTTAATTTTTTTTTATCTATCAATGCTACATATTTTTGCCAATGGTCAAAAGCTTTTTTTTTGTGTTTTCTCAATAGTTTTTCTTTATTTCCTATGAAAACATAAGGGTGTAAAGGACATTTAAATATTGAATTTGCATGCATAGATGATGTGGCATGTACACATAGCATGTTTAGAGGGTCTAAGGACCATATTGAATCACACAATAAACTTAAGGTATTTGTTTGGACAACACGAAATGTCAGGGACTAAATTGATCCTTAAGCGAAAGTTCAAGGATTATGTTGGGTATTCACCCAAATACGTAGTATTTTTTTCTCACGTTTTTGCCCCTGGATTGAACCATACGACGTCTTCCGTCTTGACCGAGCGAGCGAGAAGGTGAAGGGAGGGACGACTGGCGACCAAGCCGCCGCCGTCTCTCCCCTCGCCATCCGCGTCGCCGTCTCCCCCGCCATCCGCGCCGCCGTCGCCATCCGCCGGCGCCGCCCAGACGCGCCGCCGCCTCTCCCCGCCATCTCCCCTCGCCATCCGCGCCGCCGTCTCTCCCCGCCATCCGCGCCGCCGTCTCCCCTCACCATCCGCCACCGCCGGCCAGACGCGCCGCCGCCTCTCCCCGCCATCCGTGCAGCCGTCTTCCCCAGAGCGTCGCGGCGCTCTCCTCGCTGAGCACGCAGCCGAAGGAGCCGAAGGCTTCACTCGCTCCACCGGCGCCGCCCCTCGCCACCACCGGCGCCGCCCGACTCTTCCTCCTCGGTTGGCTCTCCTCTCTTCTCCGCAAGCCCGTTGCCCCGTTCCCCTTTGCCTCTCGTCGCTGTGGATTGCTCGATGGCTTTTATTCTTCCCCTTTCCCCCCACCGCCGCGGGTGGGCTGGTAAGTCGGTAGGTAAAGGAATCCATCGGTTTCGATCTCACCTCGTTCGCTGCCCTTTTGTTGATTGATCATCAGATGGTGCTTTGATCGGTTCGGTCCGGTTTCTAGTTTAGGCGACTGCTTGATCCGTTCGGTTTGGGGGTCTAGTTTGGGCGATTCGTCTCTTGCTGTTGCGTTAGTTCTCTGAACGGCCCTTCTTTCGATTGGATTATGGCTAATTGTGATTTGCTATTTAAGATTGCGAGGTCGGTTGGTTTGCTTCAGTTTCTGTTCGGTGAGATGGATTATCAGCTCAATTAAGCTGTACCGTGGATATTTTGGGTATGATCAAGCCTAGATAAAATGAAGTTTGTGCTCTGAAATTGTCATGGTTAGGATTGCTCACTGGGCTAAGATTATACTTCTGTTCATTTCAAGGTTGTGATGCTTGTAGTTAGTGACAATTCGGTTGCTTGCAATTCTGTGCTCTGCGGTTTTTCCTTCAGGTCTGGTAATTTTATGGGAAGGTAAGTCATATCAGAACATTTAAACATGATGGGAGATGGTTTTCTTGGGTCTGCTCAGAGCTTTCAAATCACCGATGTTAATTTGTTCAATTCCGACAAGACTAAACTGATGTTAATTTGCTTAATTCTGACAAGACTAAAGATTATTTGAAGATGGTTGAGTGTTATTGAAATTCTAAACGGCGTCATGTATTGCTTTTTGGAATTTAAAAATTGGCAATATGTGCTAAAGTTTAAGTTAAACTAGGGCGTTGGAATGATTCTTCTGTGTCAGTTCTTAGTTAAAGTTTAACTTCAGGATTTCTTTCACGAGGATTTAAGGAGCTCTTTTTGACTGCCTTCACTGTGGATTAATTTGTCCTAGTACAGGAACTAAAGATTACTTGCTGCTTGACCTGCTCAGTTTGAGGTACAGATCTCGTGATTTTCCTGTTTACTAGTGTTAGTTTTAGGAACCTTGATGCTCTGGTTTAGGGCTATGGTTAATTGCAATTTTTGAAATTTCAATATGTCAATAATGTGCAGTTTGTTTGCTTCCATTACAAGCGACTATCCAAGAACATTTTATCTGTAATACGAACATTTAAACCAGAGAAATTGAAGCTTGTGGTATGGATTGGTCACTATTAGGAATAGTCATTGACTCATTGGTGTATAAGATGGTTTCTCCATTCCATTCAAGATTGCTGCTATGTTTTTTGGTCAAATATAACAAGTGATTGATGTTATTTGGAGGCAATTTGTCTGCTTGGAACTCTGTGGTTATTAAGTCCATCCTGCTGCGCTTTTATGGTTAAATTGTCTTGTCAGAACATTTACATGGCCATAGTTCTCAGAGAATTTTGATGTTAACTTGTTTAGAGCAAAGCTATATCAGTCGGTTGTTAACTTGTTATGAAGGTGGTTATGTAGTACTAACTAAAAAGGCACATCCTAAAGTTTCTGTGGTAGATGATTCCTTTGGCAGTTACTTCTTTCAAACAATATTACAAGGTTGTGAAGGTGATTCTGAAATATTTTGACTACTGCTGGTGAAATTAATTTGAAGATTTGTTTCAAGAACAATTTATGGACCTCAACATTATAAAGCCATCTGTTTGAAGGTTCTTCCGAGTAGAAACAATTGCTTTATGAACTATGGAGTTGTTCTCAGTAGCAGTATTTGCTTTCTACTTGGTCCAGTTTGCATCTCCAGTAGTATACTTTACATTTGGGCTTGTCCTGTTCCATAACTAGCTCGGCTCTGGGTTCATTTCAATATATGTTGGTTTGGTGTCATCTTGTAATTTTTGTGTTCAAGATTCCTTCTGATGTTACAAATTGTAATTATCAAATGATATAGACGTTAGTCTGTATAATAGTTGTAACATGGTAATTTGTTTTGATAATCCTGAGGTTGATTAACTTATATTACCTTGATCTCTATGGAACAATAGAACGAAACTCTATGGCTCTTGTGGCATTGTTCTCTCTTGCTTTCATTTTGTGTGTGTTGAATGTACCACCCCATTCAGGAACTAGGATATTTCCAGGAATATTTTAGATCGTCTTGCTGCATCCACAGTTTTAAAAGTTGTTCATCTTCTACTAACTTGGTAGATAACTGTAGTTTACAGTGTTGAGATATCTCTTGAACTTAGTAGGAATTGTCCTAAATTATATGCTTTTGAATTGAGGTGAATCTCTTGAACTTAGTTGCTAATCACTCGGACAATATATTCCGAAGTATATCGTACATTATCGCTGACTTGTTTCTTCTTACAGTTTGTCTGGTACATTTCTTTCTTTATAATTATTAATTTATTATTTCTTATTCAGCATAGTGTCCCCAATTAAGATTTGCCAAGAAAGGACCTTAAACAAGAGCATATTATTGCTTGCCAATGAGAATGTTTTGACTGTTGACTGTTGTGAGGTAGTGGGAATAATTAACTATTTGCCACTCTTAGGAGTGGTTCTAAAGGATTTGCCACTCTTGTGTGAAATAAGCTAGAGCATTGATTGTCCACCAGCAGTTTTATTTGTGCATCAACTTTGTGTGCATGGTTTTAATTTGAACCAACCTTAAATCTCTTCATACATTATCTGGTGGTTTTAAGTAATCCCTTTTTGGTTGAATGTGTAGGTGCTTTAGTTTTTGTGGCATTAATTTATTCTAGGCAAATAGTTTTATTTTATGGTTTAAAATTGATGCTCTCTGTTTACTAAATATGTCATATATCCAGCTAACACCTTAATATTTCATTTCTTCTTGCTAATTATTAATTCCCATATTGTTTGTTTTCCATCTGCATATTGTTCCAAATGCTAGAAATATCATATCAATGTTCTATGGTTGCTTTTCGATATTCGTTTGATGTCAATATATAATGCTGCGATTACTGTGTGAATACTTGTGTCTATGTCTAGTAATGCATGAGATACAAGTTCAAATAAATAATAGTACTGTGTGTGTGTTTTATGGGCATTACTGAGCTAGTAATTGCCATTTTGTGTTGCTATTGAAAGCTTTGATGCTTTTTGACTTTTTGCATTTTTATAAATAAGGCTGTTAATTTGGTTGAATTAGAATTTTTTTTTTACTTCAGCAGTTCTGCTCCTGCAAGAATTTTGTTTAATTATATCGCATGTGCCAATGCTTTTTGGTTATTCGTTGATTTACATCCGTGTAGTGACTTAAATTTTACTCTGAATTTTGAATCTATACAACATGTTTTAAGTGCATAAAGTACATATTAGAAGATGTCTTCAAAATGGTGTAAGTGTGATATACTCCTAAAGTGCTTATATGATGTCATTTTGATTATGAGTTCTTCCCTGACCAAGTTTCTTCTGATTTCATCGTGTTTCCTCATTAGCTGTTTCATTTGATGCGGTACAGTTTTAATAATCTTTATAGTTACTTTAACAGTATGATGGATATGGAATTAATTAAATATAGTGCACATAATATTGACTCCTGAATCTATATAGCTATTATTTTAACCTATCCTTCCCACCACGGGTTGATATGATCTTTAACAGGATGATGAACATGCAGTTAAATTAAATATTATTAAAAAAAATGATAACTTGTTCTTTTAGTGCTTACCCTTTTGTGTGTGTTGGCCTGTACGTTCTGTCAGTTTGTGTACATGACCTAGTAACATTTATTTAGGGAAATCTAATCCTAACCATTTTTTTACTGTGTTAATAATGTTGCTAGTATGCTCAATTCAAATTCTGTTGCTTTGCTTAATAAGGTGTGTCTGCACTAATGTTTGAGTCGTATGTGTTAGAATGTACTAAATTATGTGTTTAAAAAAATAGATAATTTTATATGGGTGTTAGCCACGCAATTGCGCGGGACACCTATCTACTTGAAATAATAATAACACTAGTTATAATAATGAACAGGTGAGTAAAGATGAGGAGCGTCCAAACTCCAGTGGAGCAGAAATTGAGCAATGGAGGGGGAGGAGTGGAGGCGGCGACAATGGTGTTCGTGTACGGCACCCTGAAGCGTGGTTTCCCCAACCACCCTCTCCTCGCCGCCTCCGGTTCCCCCTTGGTTGGTGCTGCCTCCACCGCCACCCCGGCCTCGCTTGTTGTGGGGCCCTACTCTGTTCCGTTCCTCCTCCCCAGGCCAAGTTCATCCTCCGGTAGCCATCTCGTCTCCGGCGAGCTCTACGCCGTGTCCCCCCGCGCCCTAGTTGACCTCGATGCCCTCGAGGTACGTACATATATTCCTGATCAGTCCTCGATCACCTATTCACCTAGATGGCTAGATGCATGATTTGGATGGAGCGGAATTGCATCTGCAGGGCACCCACCTGGGTGTGTATGAGCGGCGCAAAGTGACCGTGGTAGTTGAGGGAGGATCAGGAGAGGTAGTGGAGGCGGAGGCCTATTTCGCACACACGAGCTACATGGAGGCCCTGTGGCTGCGCTGCGGTGGCGAGGCAGCTGAGATCGGCGAGTATACCATGGAACACGCGGCCAAGTACGTCCCTCCTAGCTGCCGATCTCCCGATGCCTCTGGTCTTATGCATGCCATCCATGTCTTCCTCCTCGCCACCTCTCCATCTCCCTGAACCATATCAAATCAAATCCTTTCATCTCATTGAGTACCGGTCGGTATCTTGAATTGAATTTGCTTATTGTTCGCTGCCTATTACCAGCACATTAATTTGAGTCAGTTACTCTGGCTCATTTTCTGTCATAAGTCTGTTGTGTCATGTACTGGTATGCAACATAAAAAAACATGAATATTAGGGAAGGACCTAATATCAAATAAATAGAAGAGGTGAGGCTTCGAACCCAAGCCGGCTAGCCCATCACCTTGTGGAGCTAGCCGGAAGACCCTAGGCGTTTCTCTACTGATATGTAACATGGATCCATTCTTCTTATATGTAAATACAGTGAAACCTTCAACTTGTTGAATTCCAAATCTAATATAGTATCTTTTAAGTGGTTCAATGTACTCCAGATGGTAGAGAATACTAAAATGCCAATTACTGCTGGTGTTATAATAACTAACTCTTTTTCTATTATCCAAAACAGGTACTCCCTCCGTATCATATTATTAGACTTTCTAGCATTGCCCATATTTATATAGATGTCAATGAATCTAGACATATATATATATATATATATATATATATATATATATATATATATATATATATATATATATATATATATATTCACTGACATATATATGAATGTGGGTAATGCTAGAAAGTCTTATAATATGAAACGGAGGAAGTACTTTGATATCAACTTTAATTTGTGAGAATTTGATTGATTATCACAAACCAATTTAACTAGGAGGGGGAATGAGATCGATATACCTCCCTAGTATCCCTTCGAGCAATTTTTTCCTTATTTGCCACTCTTCTTTATATGCCATTGAAAATTTTCTATTCCGTATTTGCCATTTGATGGAATTTTACATTCGTTTCTATGCCATTGCCGTTAACCCTATTAAAGCGAGTTTGATGTAATGTAGTAAATTACGTGCTGCGAGTATTAACCATGTTGAATGTCCTAAATTCTGAAATCAACTTGCACTAGATGATTTAAGTTGTGTGAGAACATATTTTACATGTTACAGTATGAAGTTCCAGTTGTTGAATGTTTCCTTTGCCCAAAATTGGTTTTTACAAATTTGTTTGCGTGATTAACATTTCATTTCTTGTTGCTAATTATTAATTCCTAATTTGTTTGTTTTCTATCTTGTTCCAAAGGCTAGTAGTATCATATCTATCTTCTATGATTGATTTTCTGATGTTTATTCGTTTGATGTCAATATATGTTGTGTTGCGAATACTTGTGTCTATGTCCAGTAATTCATGAGATACGAGGTCAAATGAATATAGTGCTTGTATGTTTTTTTATGGACATTGCCGAGCTAGTAAACCATTTTGTATTTGCTATTGAAACTTTGAAAGCTTTGATGCCTTTGATTTTTATAGAGAAGGCAGTTAATTGGGTTGACTTTTTTCTTTTTACCAGCTCATGGAAGAAGTTTGTTTAATCATATTTCGTGTGTCCTTGCCCATTCTTTGTGGTTATGCATTGATTTACCTCCTAATATTATGCGAAGACTCAATTTTTGTACTCTGAATTTTGAATCTTCTACAACACATTGGAAGTGCATAAAGTACATATCAGAAGTTGTCTTCAAAATGTTTTTGGCAATGTGATGTGCACTTAATACTTTTGATTATGACTTGATCACTGACCAAGTTTCTTCTGATTTCTATCGTGTTCTCTTCCTCTATTTTCTTTGATGCACTACAGTCTGATTTAGTATTGATATACTTAATAGTAATAAAGACTTAACAGGGTGATGGATATGGAATTAAATTAAATATAGTACACATAGTTCTGACTCTATATAGCTAAAAATATTTTTGGCTTATCCATTCAAATGCAGTTTAATATAATCTTTAAGAGGATGATGCACATGTAATTACATTAAATATTATTAATATGATGACTTGTTCTTATAATGCTCTTTTGTGTGGGGGGCTATACCTTCTGTTTGGGAATCTAATCCGAGCATTTATTTTACAATATGTAACGTCGCCATGATTAATCTAAATTTTGTTGCTTTGCATATTACACTAATATAATTGAGTCGTTGGGTATTAACCATGTCGAATATTCTAAATTATGTGTTGGGAGTATTAACCATGTTGAATGTCCTAAATTCTGAAAACGCACTTGTGCTGAATTTGTATTTCATGTATATCCTGCAAAGAAAATACGGAGGATGATTTCAGTTGTGTTGTGTGATATAGTTTAGCATGAGCCTTTTGCCGATTGTCTTTGTCATGTTACGGTATGGAGTTCCACTTGCTGATGTTTAGAATTTAAGAAGATCGGTTAATCGATGATGATAAGATGATTCCATTCCCAAAAATTGTTTTTTGCTAAATTTATTGGCATGATTAATTTTGTTACTAGTTGCTCTTCACCTAAAAGAATGTTCCAGTTATCCTGAGGTGTTGAACTTAGTTATTTACCTGTTTGGCAAACTAGCATACTAGTGATAGAATTACCTGAACCTAGTGGTAGTTAGCCTATTTTCCTATGCGCATTTGCATTGATAGTCTATTTTAGTGTGATAGTTACAACTGCATTTGCATGTTTATTTTCGTTGGTATAGTCAGCTCCTTCTGCATAGGTTGCTTCTAGCGAATTACTGGTATTTGATTTATGAAGATAGTTGTTTCCTTAACGTTTTGCTTTCCTTGATGTGTTAGATGCTTAGATGGGCTATGGATAGCTAACTCGATCTATTATTGCTCACTAACTTCATAATGCAATCATGGGTGCTCCTACTTTTTTTATTTCACTCGACGTGTTGGGGTGTTATATTTGGGGATAGGGGTGCCTGCCAGTGCCGGTCCCAAGCCCGGATAAAAGTGGAGGGGGCACTAATTTCTTCAAGTTTTTGAGTTGTTTTGTGTGTGTTGGGTGATCTCGGAGATAAGTATCTTATGTTGTGTTGGCTGGTCATTAATATTGGCACAGCGATAATCTTTCGCCCACTGAAAGCTTTAGAAAGAGCAAAATTGCAGAAGCCTTATTGAAGATACTTACTTACCAAAGAGTATAAGGGCGGAAATATGGGCAGTGCCTATAAGTTGAAGAAAGAAAGGCTGTAACAGCAATTGTGGAAAGTTGCTGTGGGATCAGGCACTGGAGTTCACTTGGGAGAATAAATATTGCTCCTAGTTCCCAACCCCTCTTCTTCGTTTTCCGCGCGCACGCTTTTTAAAGGGTTTTTTACAAAAAGTTTATATACGAAAGTTGCTTAAAAAAATCATATTGGTCTTTTTTTTAAAAAAAAAGCAAATACTTAATTAATCACGTGCTAATAGCCTACACCGTTTTCTATGCGCACTGTGCGGGCTGGTAACACAGGTGACAGGCTAATGAACGCAGCCTAAGTTGGTGCAGTTGAAGGCAAAAATCTAATGTGATATTAAATCGACAAAAATCAAGCACTTCGGCACATGAGCTGCAACCTTCGAGGACTCTGAACTTAAGTTAGTGGTTATGTGGTCTGGCCTGTGGTTTTCCACTTATGAAATTGAAAGTTGACTGTATCACATTGCTCCACTGAAGGGGTATATTTCTGTTCCTTCAAACATCAAAGATCCTTTGATTCCTTTTCTTTTAAGTAAGAAGGCAGAGACGTCTATATTCCTACCTATTTGCAATCCTTCCATTTTTCTTTTTGCAGAGATTTGGATCCGCAGTTACAAGTTGCACTAAAAGGATATCTGGTGGCAAGAGGCGTTAACTCCAAACTGGCAAGCTCACTTCACCACCATTTGGTTGAGAAGGAGCGGTGGCAATATATGAACTGGCTGAAAACTTTGGAAGACATGTTCAGCCACCATTTGGTTGAGAAGGAGCGGTGGCAATACATGAACTGGCTGAAAACTTTGGAAGACATGTTCAGCAAAGATCATTGACAAAAATATTTCCAGCACTGAAGACCATTGAAATGTTTCCCGTCAAGGCGTCAAATACGCACAGTTTTTGTTGTGGAAATGCATAGATGCTAGCTTTGTGGAATGCTATTGTGGTGCTTAATTTAGTTCCGTGGAATGGACCACGAAATCACCATATACTTTGGTCGAATCTAATTTTTAAATTTCGGCTCATTCGGTTCACAGGATTTTCAAAACGTAGGAATAGAAAAAACGTAGGAATACTATAGGAATACATGTGCAAACCTATGGATTGAAAAACACAGGAATTTTTCCTATGTTGTTGAGCAAGCCAACCAAAGAAATGCAAACATTAGGTTGGAGTGGATTATTTTTTTCTATTCTTTTCCTTCAGAAATGGAGGAATGGAAAACTTTTCTATAATTTTTCTATGGTACATTCCTATGAAGCGAATGATAGTTTAGAACCTATTCCTATTCCTATGTTTTTTCTTTGCAATTCCTTTGAAGCGAATAAGCCCTCCCTCAAGCTATGGTTGGAACTTGGAACCTTCGGGAACCAGCAACCATCCAAATGTCCATGGTTGATCACGTGTGAACACGGTTTGTTTACAAACTTACAATGGGGGTAATTGGCCAATAATTTATTTTTACTGTGCTCCATGGAAGCATGGAACATGGAGTAAATCACAGTTGCACGACTGGTTGCGGCTAACGACGAATCATCGAGGATTAGGACGGTGGGTGAAGCGTGTCCGCTTCGGCTAAGCGATAAGAACATCCTCTGAAAATAAAAAAAAAAAAAGAAAAAAGCGATAAGAACGTCCCGACCATGACACCGAAAAAAGCGCAAGATAACTCAAAGCCGCACACGGACTCGGCATCCCCGGGCCCACCAACACCGCCTCCGTATCCCGTATCCGTCTCCGACTGCGACCAGAATAGTCGGGCGCCCACCGACTCGGTTTCCTCCTCGGTGCCTCTCCTCTTCGTTCCCTTCCTCTATAAATGCAAGCCCGTTCCTCCCCTCAGACCCTCATCGCTGTGAATTGCGCGATCGATGGCTTCCTTCCTCTTCTCGCGCGGGTTATTTCTTCCTTCCCCTTTCCCCCTCCGCCGCGGGTGGGCTGGGCTGGTAAGTCGGTAGGTAAGGGATCCATCGGTTTCGATCTCACCTGGTTCGCTGCCCTTTTGTTGATTTGATCATCAGGTGGTGCTTTGATCGGTTCGGTCCGGTTTCTAGTTTCGGTGACTGCTTGATCCGTTCGGTTTTGGGGGTCTAGTTTCGGCGATTCGTCTCTTGCTGTTGCGTTAGTTCTCTCAACGGCCCTTCTTTCGATTGGTTTATGGCTAATCGTGATTTGTTGTTCTGGCAATACTGATTGCGAGGTCGGTTGGTTTGCTTCACTTTCTGTTCGGTGAGATGGATTGTCAGCTTAATTAAGCTGTACCGTGGATATTTTGGGTATGATAGATAAAATGAAGTTTGTGCTCTGAAATGGTCAATGGTTAGGATTGCTCACTGGCCTAAGATTATTGTTGATTATTGTTCTGTTCCTTTCAAGTTTGTGCATTTGTGATGCTTGGTAGTTCGAGACAATTCGGCAGCTTACAATTATATACAATTTTTCCTTCAGATCTGGTATTTTTTATGATATAAGGTCAAGTCATATCAGAACATTTAAACATGATCGTGGTGGCTTTCTTAGGTTTGCTCAGAGCTTTCAAATCACCGCTGTTAATTTGTTAAATTCCAGCAAGAAAGAGTGCTAAAGTTTGAGTTAAACTAGGGTGTTGGAAGATTCTTCAGTATTGTTCTTCTGTGTCAGTTCTTAGTTAAAGTTTAACTTCTGGATTTCTTTCACGAGGATTTAAGGAGCTCTTTTTGACTGCCTTCCCTGTGGATTATTTTTATCGTAGTACAGGAACTACAGATTACTTGCTGCTTGACCTGTTCAGTTTGAGGTACAAATCCCGTTATTTTCATGTTCACTGGTGTTAGTTTGTAGGAACCTTAATGCTTTGGTTTAGGGTTATGACTAATTGCAATTAATTGAATTTTCAATATGTTAATATTGTGTAGTTGGTTTGCTTCCATTAGAAGCGATTGTCCGACCACTTAATCTGCATTATGAACATTTTTTGGCATATTGAAACCAGAGAAACTGAAGCCTGTGGTATGAATTGGTCATGGCTAGGATTAGACATTGGTGTATAAGATGGTTTCTCCATTCCATTCAAGACTGGTGCTACTTCTTTTCTCATCAAAACTAACAAGTGAATGATGTTATTTGGAGGAAATTTATCTGCTTGTTACTTTGCTGTTAAGTCAAATCCTGCTATGGTTCATGGATCAGTCAATCTTGTCAGAACATTTAAACATGGTCATAGTTCTCACAGAATTTTGATGTTAACTTGTTTACTTCCGGAAAGCTAATTTATCAGTTAAGATGGAGATGGTTATGTAGTAGCTAAAAGGCCCATCCTAAAGTTTCTATGGTAGATGATTCTTTTGGCAGTTACTTCCTTTGAACAATATACAAGGTTATGAAGGTGATGCTGGAATCTTTTGACTAATGGTGAAAATAATTTGAAGATTTGTTTCAAGAAAATTGATGGAACTGAATTTGCTTTCCTGCTCTGAGAAGTAAATTCGATGGTTGTGTAAAGTGTGCCATTATAAAACCATCTATTAAATGTTCTTGTGAGTAGAAATCTATGCTTTATGAACTGTGGAAGAGTTATCAGTAGCACTATCTGATCTCTAATTAGTTGGCCCAACTTGTTTCTCTAGTAGTATCTTTAACATCTGGGCATGTAATGTTCTATAACTAGCTAGATGGTGGGTTCAGTCCAGTATAGTTTGGCCCTTTGTCTGTTCGTTTGGTGTGTTGTCTTCAATGTGCTCTTTAAGCATCCTAAAGATGTTGGACATTGTAATTATCAAATGATTCGGACTTTCATGTCCTGATTTGGTCTGTAAGGTTGTTGTAATATGATAATTTATTTTGACAATTATGTATTTTATTAACTTATATATTACCATGATCTGTACGGAAAATAAGTTGATGGCATTGTTTTCTCCTGATTTAATTTTGCATATTGAATGTACCACCTCATTCAGGAACTAGGATATTTCAAGTAAATGGCAGGGTCCACTGTTTTGAAAGTTGCTCATCTTCTAACTAAGTTTGTAGATAACTGAAGTTTACAGTCTCAACATTGTTTGCCTAGGCTAAGATAGAAATGTGGATGTTTTCTAAATATTATGCTTTTTATAGGAATTGATAGCGCTTTTGAAATTGACGTAAATCTCTTGAACTTTGTTGCTAATCACCCACAATATTTTTCGAAATATATCATACATACATTTTCACTATGTACACTAAAAATATAATTCTGCTAACTTGTCTGTAGATTATCTCCCCTGACATTAATTATCTTTTATATTTTCTTCTTACAGTTCGTCTGGCACATGCCTTTTTTTAGTGCCCCCACTTTAAGATTTACCGAGAAAGGACCTTAATTAAGGCTAGTATCTCATTCATTGTCGCTTACCAAAGAGATTGTTTGAATGTTGTGTATGTTGTGTAGATAGTTCCATACTCAAAGAGCAACTAATATATACTATCTTTTTTTGCCTGTATGGATGCGCTATATAATGGGTGCCCTCCTCTTCGTATAATATTACGCAGTTCATAAAAATGTCTCACTTGATTAACACTTTCATTTATTTGTTTGACTGTTTGTATGTTGTGTAGGTAGTGCCATACTAACAGAGCTACTAATATATACTATCTTTTTGCCTGTATGGATGAGCTATAATGGGTGCCCTCTTCGTATAATATTATGACATTTATTCAAAATGTATCACTTGATTAACACAGTTTCATTTATTTTATTTATGATGAATATGTACTCCGTATGCATGCTTATTAGTTTTTTCAGGGTAGTGCTTGTTTATTTCAATATCTTCATGCTTTGAAGATAAATTAATTAGTTCAACCTAACCTTGTTTTCTGTAGAATTCTTTCTTTGTATCATATACCTTCATGTGTGGAACTTCCATTTCATTTTAGTATGGTCCTTGCATGTTCTCGTTAGATGGCTAGCACTCTTTTCTTTATTTGATTTGAATTTGGTCCTTAGGTTTGTTTTGTTGCATCATTTTTCTTATGTGAAATGAGCTAGGGCAATCATCAGCTGTTATTTGCCTTCGATTGAAGTGTCATAGGTCGCCGTTTTATTTGTCTTGGGTAGTGGTTCATTCTTGTTTGTACGTTCAGAATTTTAGTTTCAAGAACATTGTTCACCATTCTATTATTATGTCATTTAAGGTGAATTTTCTAAAGCGAACTTGAAGAATACTAATCCTTTATAGTTCAGCTAAACAGCAATATGGTGGTTTTATTTATGCATCAAACTTTGTGTGCATGGTTTCAATTTTTTTTTTAATCTGAACCAGTCTTAATCGCTCCATATTATCTGGTGGTTTTAAATCTATTTTTATTTAATGCTTAAGTGCTTTTAGTTATTTTTTTTATTTTATTGTCTAAAGCTTGATGCTCTCTGTGAGCTAAATATATCCTATGTCCTATATATCCTTAACATTTCATTTCTTCTTGCTAATTATTAATTTCAGCTTTGCTTATTTTCCATCTACATTTTGTTACAAAGGCTATATAATATCAATGTTCTAGGTTGCTTTCCTAATGTTTGTTCGTTTGATGTCAAAATAGGAAGGGATTACTGTGTGAAAACTTGTGTTTTTGTATGTGTTTGTGTCTAGTAATGTATGAGATACTAAGTTCAAATAAATATAGTGTTTTTTTCTGGACATTGTTGAGTTAGTAACTGCCATTTTGTAATGCTATCAAAAGCTCCGATGCCTTTTGAGTTCTAAAGAGAATAATTTGGGTTGAATTGAGCCTTTTATTTTCTTTTACTCTGGCAATAATTTGTTTAATCATAGTTCATGCTGCTCCTTTCTTTTTGGCTACCCGTTGATTCCTTTTAGAGTGCAGAGACTTAAATTTTCTCTGAATTTTTAATCTTCTGTACAACATATTGGCCGTGCATATCAGAAAATTTTTTTAATCAGCATATTTAAAATGTTTTTACTTTTTAGCAACGTGATTTACACCTAAAAATGTTAACATTAATGTCATCTTGAATTCTTGATTATGACTTGATCACTGACCTGGCTTATGCTGATTTCTGTTTTGTGTTTTCTTCATCAGCTGTTATTCTAATTTAGTATTGATATATGTGATCAGCGATGCACCTACAGTTCTGATTTAGTATTGATATGTGATCAGCGATGCACCTACAGTTCTGATTTAGTATTGATATATGTGATAGTAAATACTAGTTTTTATAGTTTACTGAACAGGATGATGAATATGGAATAAAATCACTATAGTGCGCATAGTCCTGAATGTATAATAACTGAAATATTTCGGATTTATACTTTCCACCGTGGTTCAATATGATCTTTAACAAGATGATTAATGTGCAACTAAATTAAACATTGCTTCAAGGATAACTTGTTATTATAATTGTCCTGGCCTATAACCTTCTGTCAGTTTGTGTACATCATTTTATTTAGGAAATGCAATCCTAACATTTTGACTGTGTCAATTAAATTCGGTATGCTCAATCCAAATTATGTGGCTTCATTTCTGTGTGTAGTCTGCACTAATGCTTGAGGCGTACGTGTTGGAGTAGTATTAACCATGTTGGATGTCCTTAGTTCTGAATGCACTTGCGCTGACTTTGTATTTCATGTACATCCTGTGAAGACAATAATCTAAGATCATTTCAGTTGGATGAGATCAATATTTTACATAAGCGTTCTACCAACCGTCCTTTTCATGTTGTTCTAATATTGATTGTTACTGGTTGTCGTTCCTTGAAAGAATGAATGGGATCTTCCATTTATCATGAGGTGTGTTGTACTAGGTGTATTGTTATCTGCCTGCTTTGTAAGCAAGAATGTCTATTTCCTATGCGCATTTGCATTGCCAGTATATTTTACTGTGATTGTTACATTTGCATTTGAATTTTGTCTTTTCGTTGGTATAGCTCCCTCTGATATAGGTTGCTTGTAGAGCTCTGTGAATTACTGATGACTGATTTGTGATTATAGTTGTTTTGTGTTAAACCTTTTGGTTTCCTTGATGTTTGATGGGCTATGGGTAGCTTAACTTGATTCTTTTGCCTTTGAATTAAATTTTTTTTTCACTTGCTTCATATCTGTAGACGGAATGTTGGGGTGTTCTGTTTGGGGTAGGGGGTGCCTAACACTGCCAATGCCGGTCCCAAGCCCGGATAAAAGTGGAGGGGGCACTGTGTCGGGGTGTTTTCGGTGAGAACTGAGAATTGCTAACAGTTATATGCAAAAGTATCTTCTTGCATTTCTGAACGTCAACAGTTGTTCTCTCGTGTGATCTGCATCGAACTTTTGCGCTTGCAGTTCATTAGTCGATGCAGTGGAAGGCAGAGCTCGACAAATATTCTGCACATGAGCTGCAATGACACTGAATTAATAAGCTATCTATGTTTCTGAGCTAGCCTTCATACATGATACATCCCGGTATGACATTAGTGGACAATGAACGCTCGTCCCGAGCTGAAAGGATCATTGCCACTAAACTTGTTTACTCTTGTGAGTTGTGAGCTCTCCAAGTCTCCAACGCTAGTTGCTCCAGGGAAGAAACGCTCCATAGCTTCACTGATCAACGTTACAGAAGCAAACACGCATTCCCATCCCAGAACACACACGAACACCACCACCGGCGCCTGCTGCCTAGTGCGCACCATCCTCTGCCACGACCCACGCCGAGTGAGCGTACAGGATGCGCCCCTTCCACCCCTGCAGCAACCACCCTGCATCCTCCTCGATCACGAACTCCTCGTGATGCCTCCTCCTCACCCTTCTCCTCACCGCCTCCACCACGTCGCCCTCCACCGCCGCCTGCCTCAGCCCCGCCCGCCGATTCCTCGCCTGCCACCGCCTGTACGTCTCCGGCCGCTCCACCCGCTCCGCCCCTTCCCCCGCGATCACCCCCACCGCCGCCCGCCTCAGCACGTCCCTCTCCAGCACCACCCGCAGGTGGCTCCCCTCCTCCGGCGTCGTCGCGCCCAGCATGTCGAACAGCGCCGAGAAGAAGAAGAGCGCCTCCCGGAACCTCGTCGGGAAGAAGGGCGCGCCGTGGGCGCCGTTCACCACGGCCTGGACGAACACCGCCGGGCGCATGTCGCGGATGCTGCCCAGGACCGTGTCCCGCGGGCTCGGGTCGTCGAACACGCCGCTCTCGTCCATCAGGGTGCCCAGGCTGAGCACGTCGTTCACGACGACCGCCGCCTCGTCGTCGGGGTCGACGCCGACGACGTCCTCGGCGGTGACCGTCTCCCACCTCGCCGCCGCCACGGCGCGGAACTTGAACGGGGAGCCCGAACGCGCGCGCGCAGTTGCTGAGCCGGCGCCCCGTCCTCTCGAGCCGTCGGGCTGGCCGGAACCCTGGCTGGGGATGGCCTACGAGCGTCATCCTCACCTCCGGCGGCCCGCCTTCCCTCTCCGCCAGCCGCTGCAGCAAGGATGGCCACTGGAGGCCGTGGTACTGACCACCGTAGTCCACGATGTGCAGCCTGTTCCTCCCTTCCGCCGCGCGGAGGATGGCCATGTTGGCGAACGTGAACGCCACCCACTTGAAGCAGCACGCCGCCATGAACACCTGGTACGCCTCCAGCAACTCCATGGCCGACGCGCGCTCCTCCGCGGACGCGACCAGCCGGCGCTCCAGGCTCGCCGCGCCGGCCAGACGCGCCTCCAGGCCATCGGCGAAGTAATGCGCCAGCCGCTCGGTGGCGTCCCCTGTCGGCGACGAGTGCCGCTTGATCTGCTCCAGGAGTTCGCCGGCGCTCCGGCGGTTGCCCGATGCCACCGCCTGCGCGCACGACATGAGCAGCTCGCGCAGGTCCACCACCTCCCCTTTGGCCTGCCTCCTCCTCCGCCGCGCCGCCTTCCCGCACTTCTTCTCCGCGGGGACGCGCGGCGCGTTCGTCTCCCCGTGGAATGCCTCGTCCTCGTCCCCGTTGAGCATCATCTTCTCCAACATCTCGCCGACGCCATCGTCGTCGTCCTCCTCCTCCTCCGGCGTGGCCATCAGTTTGCTCGCCCTGCCCACCTCGGCCTCCAGCTCGTCCCCGCCATGCTTACTACCCTTCCGTCCCCTACCATTGCCGCTCCCCTGCATCATCAAGGCAGCAGAATCCTCCATGGGTGCACTGTTCACCTCACCGGCGATGCTGGAGGAGGAGGAGAGGATCTGGGCGAACGGCTGCTGCGCCTCGAGGAGAGCGGGGTGGTCGGGGTACAGGCAGAAGAACATGTCGTCGTCGATGTCCTCCTCCATGAGAATACGCGAGATGTACGGGAGCACCACATCGTCGGCCGCCGCGGCGGCTTCGGACGGCGGCGCGGCTGGCCCCATGAACTCCAGCAACGCAGCGCCGCAAGACGAACTCCTCTCATCACTGGAGTGGCATATGATGTATTACTTAGGTGTTTTCCATGCTTACATTGGAGTCATCGATTAGCTCCATGTACGATGTATCGACATGGCTGTGGCTGCTGGCATTAGGCATCAGCTGAACATAGGTATCATCTAAGCTCGTTGTTAAATGCATGCAATGCGACCAACACACACAAGAACTATCCACAAGAACTGACGTTGTCGATCAGATCATCAGTTTTGTTCTCTGAAAAGGAAATTTTGTTACGTTTGTTGTATGGATAGTGAAAGTTACAACTGACAAGTGACAAAAAGGAAGGAACACTAGCATCAGGAACAAAGCCAGCACCTCATCTGCTTGTTGAATTTTTCAGAAGAGTATGCAGCAACAAACCAGCCGTCCAGATCAAACCCAATTCGGACACGATCTCTTGGCGTTGGGAAAGCTCAGGGTCTCGTTTGGCGTATCGTCTTCTCTTCGCGGGAAGAACCAGCCTCGAGCACAAGCCAATTTGGAAGTCTCTAGCGCCCCCGCGCTGTCGGTACTTTCTGTGGCTGGTCGCACTGAATCGTTGTTGGATAGTGGATCGTCTTCGGAGTCGAGGGCTGTCACACCCGGTTCGCTGCACTCTTTGTGATCAATGCGATGAGACGATTGATCACTTATTGGTTGCTTGCTCGGAGTCTCGCCAGCTATGGTGGATTGCTCCTTCAGCTATTGGTCATTCTGAGTGTCTACCTCTCAATGAGCACTCTTTTCACTCTTGGCTGTGTAACAGTCACAAAAGGATGGCCAAGGAACATCGTCGAGGGTTCGACACCATTGCAACTTTGGTGGCGTAGACGATTTGGAAAGAAAGAAACAATCGGGTCTTCAACCAAAAGAGTAGGACATGGGCGGAAATTGCTAGGGCCATGACGGGCGAAGCGGACCTTTGGCAGTTGGCTAGAGCCGCGATACCGGCCATGGAGACCCCTATGTCGGGTGGAAGGTCGCCACATTCGTTGGGAGATTAGGCTTTTATTTTCTTCCTCCTCCCCCCTCCTGTATCTTGTCCCCTTCGTGTTTTTGATTTTTTGGCCCGCTCTGTAAATACTTTTATTCCTTCTTAATACAAAGATGCGCCCCTCGCGTATTTAAAAAAAAAAAAGATCAAACCCAATTCATCCTGGCGAGCAGAACACGATCGAGAGAAATGGACAAACTTGTATTATGCATCTGTGTACTATGTTTACCATGTCAATATGTCATAGAAAATTCCATGAAGCAATTCTATATATATCCTGTCATTTTGAGCGAAATGCTCTAGTGTATCGTCTCAGCTCTGAGATCTGAACTCTGAACAGGTAAGCGAAAGCAGAAAAGATGGAGCACTCTTTTCCCAAGTTGGTCATTGCGCTCGTGCTATTGCTGCCGCTGTGCTCGCCATCGCAGCGTTTGTCTGGAACTGAAACATTGACCTCAGCTGGTTGAGCTCTCTGTTGCTTCTTTCTTTTCGTATAACTAATGAGTGAATCATCTTGGTGATCTCCTTTGCTCTGGATATTTTTGTCAGGGCAGATGTATCTTATATTTTTATGATGTTCTTGTTTGCCTGAGATTTATGAGTTTTTTATGTGTATGCGATGTGAATCGAGTACTTGGTCTTGCATGCCTATGAGTAAAGGTGTGTCGTGTACCTGTTTTTTTGGGTACATGTCTGAAATGAAGTCCGAGTTGCTTGTGTACTTCTGCTGTCAAAGAAATTTGTTCTTGTTGTATTTGAACAGTTTCAGGACCGGTTTGTGCTGCTCATCAGGGATCTCCAGCTGACTGTTGCAGATTTGTGTCCTGATCCAGTTAATGAGTTGGAAAATCATGGGATTTGGCAGGCAGAAAATATTATACAGCCATCGGATTCATGAGTTATGCAGCTCCTAAATATTTTTCCAAAAACAGAACAATCATCTCTACAAAAGAAGTACAAGTGCATAGTTAACAACTCCTAGAGAATATCCCCACACCCAACCACCCATAAAATTGGACAGAGTATCTGCAAAAGAAGGAAATGCTCAGAATTAACAGCTCCTAATAAAACACAAATTCCTAAAACTGAACATTATCTCTGGAAAATAGGGGGGAAATGTGTATTTTACACTGCATAGAAACCAAAGATATTTTACACTAGAAACCAAAAATTTGTATTTGATAACGAACCTGAAAACTAATTACTAACTTCCACTAGATTCCAGGGGTAAAATGCCACCTAAGAAACAACGCATCAACCCTCCAGGCTCCACGGCACTGTAATACTACTGTCTTATCTTCTGATAAAAAGGCTAGAAACAAAATAAACAATATCTACTCATCCTTTGAGGTAGATGAGACCATGAAGCTTCCGATAACATCGCTAGGAATCCGGGCTGATATGGCAATTCATTACAGAAGGTGTACAAATCCGTCTCTCACCCAACTCCGGCTTTCCAGCAAAGCACTGAGCCATTCCATCACAACCCAAAACATTATTAACTCCACATTGTGCTTGGAACGGGTAACTACCCAATGCACCATTGATCCTTGATCGCACATCCACCAGTAACGACCTCAACCATACCACCTCCGCCTCAAGTGCAGCCTGCCCTTGCAGCCTCTTCACCAGCTGCTGGTTAATGGCACGAAGCCTCTTCACTTCCTCTTCCAAGTGTGCTGTATGAGCCTTCTTCTTCTGCCGGTATTTGCGGACAGCCTCACGGTTGCCCAATGGCTTGCGGCCCTTCTTTGGCTTGGCTTTGTCACCTCCACAACTATCATCATCTGAGCTGAAGACATGGGTGTGGGTGTGGTAGCATGTATGCGTGTGCGCTGTTGCCGATGGACCAGGCGGGTTGCAAGTATGAGTGTGTGTGCGTGTTGTCCTGATGCTTGGCAGGAAATCATCAAGGCTGGTTGGAGTCTCTGGATTTGGAAACATCATTTGGCTGGAAAGTTCTATCTCCCCGTCATCCATATTTTTTCAACAACTTAGAAGATGCAGATGACTAAATGATTGGTCAGGTATATAAATTCTTACACCAAATAGGACCTGATAAAGTTCAGAAAATTCACAGAATCAGATAACATTACCAGGTTGGACTGTTCAAAGAATAGAGAACTAAATTCCAAAAAAAAAATGTTTCCTCAAGTAAATGAAATAATCTAGGTTAAACATTGGCATAACTACTGGACAGAGACATGGCAGTTTATGCTGCAAATCAGCAAATGTATATTTGAAGCTAACCTAACAATTGCAACCTTTTGACATTGCCCTGTTCTTCAAAAACCTAAATTTGTACTAGAATTCTTCAGAACAAAAGGATGTATCAACTATCAAGCATGACTTGACCAGATAAAGCATACATAACAGTTCGTATATAAATAAAGATCAGCATCATGAACCTAACATGTTTCATGGAAATCAGACACCTAGCATCATTGATGATCATGTTAACTGTAGCACTTCGCGTACAATATTGGGCAGGCAAAATATCAATGAATATAGAACGGTACAGCATAGCCGGATAGCCCAATCCTGAGTAACTATGACCCTATGAGCAACCTAAAGATAATTAACTAGGAGTTATTTTATTAGAATGAAGTACATGGATAAATATGATCTGTCATTTTTGTCATGCGCGAAAGCATCAGAAATTTAGAAGTTGGCAAATCCGGCGCCTAGAAGTCCAATACAACATGTACAATCACCATATGGCCGGAAATTTTGATGCACAAATTAGAAAAAGAATTGGCAATTTAATCGCAAAGGGAACTAACCAATCATTCTCAGGCGGAGAAAGCACGCACCTTTCACCTGCTGCCAGGACCCAGGAACGCCGGATTGCAGTGTCGTCGCCGTGCGTCCGATGCTTCGTGGACTCGCGGTCGACCGGAATCTGGAGCGGTGGCCCGGCGCCGCCCTGTACGAGGTTCCCCGGAGGCGGCGGCTCGTCGAGAAGCAGCACAGGTCGGAGGCGGCGGCCGCGGCTTAGATTAGAAGCCTAGAAATGGTTGGCGTCGCGGCATGTACCCGTCCGCCTCTCGAGAGAGTCACAAGGCAACACGACGTGTTCAGCTTGGGCAGCGGCAACCGTGTCTCCAGTCTTGAGCACACACGTCGCTGCGCCACCCAGCCAAGCCACACCTCACTGTCTACCTCAGATTCTTGCCCAGAAATCTCATACTCCATGTGGCTTACAGAGGTGAATTGACGGTACTGCAAAAGCGAAAGATAATGTAAAACAAGCTTACAAATAGACCTGAAACTGGCTTATACTGTACCAGTGCCTCTTCAGATTCAGCAATCTGCGATATTGGAAAATACTGGTAAATACGCATGTACAGTCTTGTTTCAGAAACGAATTCTTCTAATAAATCGATGAGTACAAACAGTATAAATTATTTCTACCAGATTTTCTGGTAATTTTCTGCGACGGCACTACATCTTCTAAGTGGTAGCTACAGCTATGCTGATCAGATCAGTACGGGCGGCGCCGGCCTTTGTGGCGGCTACTGCTGTTGTCATCTCCTCTCTGCCGTTTTGCACCGGGCCTGCTACTGCCGGAGCTGCCACCACCACCGCCATAGCGGCTGCCACTGCCGCCATGACGTCCTCCACTGCCGCTACGATGTCCAGCTTGCTGCGGCGGCGGCGAAGCCAGCGGCAACTGTCCACCAGGCTGTTGTCTGCAAAGAAGCAATGAAGATATCATCAGCAATGGAAATGCCAAAATGACGTGTAACTGAACAGAAGTCACTTCATCTCATCTCATGCTGATAAGTGATACTCCTTCAATCCACAAAAGTTACACCTATTTCACATTTGAGTTTTTCCAAATAAGTTGTTCCTATTTGTAGTCTTTATGCATTCAAAACTTAAATGAATAGATAAATTAAATGTTTTATTAGAACCCAAGGAGTCATCTAAATACTCATTGGTTGCATGCTTGCATTCACTCCTTGATTTTGTAACATCCAAGATGATTTAATTTCTCTTTGGTCTTGGTGTCAAAAGTAATATGTGTAACTTTTGTGGATGGAGGGAGTAACATGTTATTAGCTTTTCTTTAGAAAAGATGGTTGGTAGCGCTTACACAACATATACGAGACGACCATCCGGTAACATCATTGGAACCATTGCTGCCCCTGGAGGAGCTCTTGGAGCATACAGCATAGGCTGCAAAAAGCAGAGCATACAATGGTTAGAAGGGCATCAATCATCCTTTTCTACATGTATTTCCTCATTGATCGGACATAGGGGTCTATGATGATGATGTACTCATGTACCTGTGCAGTACTAGCAGGAGCAGCACCATAGGCACCTGGTACTGACATGATACCATATCCAAGTGGAGGATAACTCGGGAGCAATGGAGCTCCATTTGAACTAGGTAGTGGTACTCTATCATCCTTCTTATCAGCAGCAGGAGGTTTCGCAAGTGAGCAATCCAGGACCTGACCTGTTAAGAGAAATATGTGAGACCTTGAATGCACCAGACAAACCAGACTAAGCATAGTGGGTCATTACAGGGCAAGAGGAAAGCTCACCATCAAGCTCATATCTCTCTGTGTTCTGCAGAGCCCTCATGGCCATGGACCTGTCCTTAAAGTGAACAAAACCATACCTATTATCATGACCTCCTCTTGAAGGAGGAAGAACAACCTTTTCAATTTCTCCATGGTGCTCAAACAGTCTTTTCAGCTGTGCTTGAGTAACATTCTTGGGCAGATTTTTCACATATACAGATTTAACCTGAAAACACACGTAAAATAATCAAGTTCATATAAAACATCATGGTATAAGAATTATACACGAAAAGTAAAATTGTTCATGTTATGCTTGAACGAACCTGAGAAGTAGAGACCGAGTCGTTATTCTTAGGATCTGCCCAGCTGACTGTAGGAGCATTTGAATCTAGTTTGAATGTTGGGGAAGACATCTCCTGCCTTGCATACTCTGCACATGCATGGTTGTAGTATTCAACAAAACCATAACCCCGATTGCGATTTGCACTTGAGACCTACAAGTACAAAGAAATTTTTAGGAGAAAGAAGATCGAGAGTGCATAACAAAGTTGTTGAACTACCCGGATACATACCTTCATGAGATCAGCTTTTAATACTCCTGGACCAACTTCCTCCACAGCCTTTCTGAAATCATCATCTGTCCAACTATGGGGTACATTTCCAATAAAAAGCTTGTTCTTAGCCTGCGAGGAAGAAACCCTTATCCGCTTTCCCTGTAACGAGAAGCATAATGAAAAAATTCAGTTGGTATAAAAGATCAAGATAGATCAGTTGTCAGCTATAACAGGGAACCAGGAAATATTCTGCACATGTGTGTCCAGGGCAGCAAAGCTATGTTTTCCAAAACTATTGGTAAGAGAACATAAGCTACCACCACTCCCAATCATGAACAAGTGCTTCCTGTTAATGGCATAATCCAGTAGTTTTAACCAAATATTAGAAGTTACAAAACCATGATATTACTAGAGATCATGTATAGTAGATATGTGTGCCCCTCCCTCTTTCTTCCTACATATCCAGGGAAACAGGGAGAACAGCTGATGTGTGAGATTACTGTGCTATGTCAAAATCAACAGAAGTTAACTGCAGATATAAGTGCAATAAGACTGAAAAAAAAAGGAAAGCTTATTGCATGATAATATCCAAGTGAAATCACTATTTTGTTCTCTACCAGTTCACATTTGGAAACTGAAAAAAGTGTAGTAAAAATGTCCAGAACTTGCTTGATCAATTACCAATCTTAGGATAAAATCTCAATGGCACTGATGGAGCGACAGTATAGACATTGCATATCAGATGGCATGATAATCAACTTTCAAGTTCAACAGAAAACAAACCTTCAGTTTTGCATTGTTCAATTCTTTGACAACCTTTAATGCCAAACCTTTAGTTCTAAAATTAACAAAAGCATATCCCCTGCTATCGTCCTTTCCTCTCATCATTCTTACCTGCATAAAACGGGAGAATATGTAATTCAGAACAAAACAGGCCACATGGAAACATAAAACGAACAATGTAAGCAGTACTTACTTCCACAACTTCTCCAACTGGTTCACATAGTCTCTTCAGATCTTCAGAAGATACATCACTGGAGATGCCTCCAACATATACTTCAGAACCATGGGGAGGAAGAGCAAGAAGCTCAGCATGCTTTCCCTTTTCAGTAACATCCTTCTGGTGAACACCTTTAGTTTTACTTACACCTTCAGTTTCATCAGATTCCTCATCTTCCTCCTCATCTTCCTCCTCATCTACCTCCTCAACTTCCTCCACGACATCTTCATCCTCCTCTACCTCCTCCTCCTCTTCTATCTCCTCCTCGATTTCTTCATATTCAATTTCCTCCTCTTCTACCTCCTCCTCTTCATCATCAAACTCCAAACATTCTTCTGATTTGTCTGGTTCAACTGAATTGGCAGAAGCAGCATTATCTGTCCTTGGCATCTTGAAAAGCTCAAAGTTCCGAGGCAACTTTGGAAAGAGCAAAGGAGCCAACAATATTGGGAGAGCAAAGTGATGATACAAGGATAGGAAGAAAAACAACCGAATAAACAAGAGTACTTGTTATGCAATAATCTCAAACAGGATGCAGCCATGGGTATCCAACTGGATAGAAAGAGAATGTATAAGGAACAAATGAGGAAACAGTGGTACGGTTACAAAGGATTCTATGGGGAGGTTCTCAAGATACAATCCCCGATAAGCATGGACATGAAAAAGAGCAAAGAGCAAAGATGATGCAATGTGAAGTATAATGAACAAGCTGATGATGTGCAATAGAATGATGCCAATATTCCATGAAATGGATGGGAAGGAAAGAAAAAAGGCACAGAAATAAAAAAAAACACGATGAGAACCATAATATATTGTATGTATTATGCTATAAATTAAAATCTAATTCCGGTTAAATAACATGACAGTAGCTGAGAATCTGACTAATGACTCCCGCAAAAAAAAAAAAAGAGAATCTGACTAATGACAAGAAATGGAGAAAACACTAATTGGCACCATTTCGATACCACAAGCAAATCAAATTGGGCCCAACACAGGAAACGTTCCATTGCTTAATTTGTAGGATATTAAAAGATATGGAAACTTTTAAGGTGCGCCTAACTTATTTTGGGCCATCCATTCTATCTAATGGTTAATATGACTATTACTCCGTACCATGTAATTGGTCATCCCTTGGTCGTTGCAAGGGTAATAAAGGCTTTTGGCTACATGATAAGCAAGGAAAAACGCGATAACTAGCTGGAGCAGGTGCAATCACTTAAATAATAGGGTAGTTTAATGTTGGTTTACTTTTACCCTATATTAGGTTAGAGGTAAGTGTGGAGCACCGCAAAAGAGTTTGATATGGGTTACAGAGGATAACACGCCGGCTCCATTTTAATTAAGAAAGAAAAATCGCTGGCACGGTTCAGGACATTACATTTTTCGCACACACTAGAAGAGCTATAATTTGGAACTTAGGGCCTCGATTTGACTGACAAGATGTCTTCAAATCAACATTTATAAATTCTGGTTACAGTTTGGTCATCTACATACAAGGGCCTGCACAAACAAACCAGATCGATGAAATAGCTAAGTCCTCTCGCTCCCGACTAGCACAATAGAGGTATTTAAAAAAAAAAACTTAACGACCTAAATGCCAATCCAGCAATTGCAAAGGTGAAGGAAAATTCTGATAACCAACGCAATCCAACATTTGGAAACGAGAAAATCTTGACGAGCGCCACACTGCTACCGCTCCCAAATAGAACAACAAAGCGCGATCAATAGCGAGGGATAGGACGAACGCAGGGCATCTAAATTCGAATCTGGGATCTGGTTCCTCACCTTGGGGAGCTGAGGCAGGGTGGTCGTCCCGATGGCGGAAATGGGGAACAGCCGAGTCGCCTCGCCACCCGCCAACCCTAGGCTCGAGCTGGAAGAAGACGGCGATCGAATGAGGGAGTTTGCACAGTCTCATCACCGACAAAGTGACGGGGAATACGGTTTAGCCCATCCGCGTCCAGCCCAAATACTTCTGGTTTGTTGGGCCTGGATGGGCCTCCTAAGTGCGGTGAATGAACGATATGGCCCGCCAGGTTCAGCCCATATACAGCCCACGAGACGTAGAGGCACATTTCGGCCCATTTTTACCGGTTTGATTTCAGCAGTGAGAGAAATGGAAAAAAAAGAAAAAAAAAAGAAAAAACCTGGTTGGATACTTGGATAAACGGACTCAAGTGATGGCGATGCAATGTGATTGGACAGGACTTCATATATTGGATTATTTCCTGTGTTAACTTTGAGTGAACATGAAGAAAAGCCTGGATCCTCCGGGCTATTAAATAGCCCTCCGAAATCTTGTTATTTTAGATTATTAAACGTAGATTATTGATAAAACTGATTCCATAACCCCTAGGCTATTTTGCGAGACGAATCTAATGATGTATATTAATCCATAATAAGCAGCTGATTACTGTAGCATCACTGTAGCAAATCATGAATTAATATATCTCGTTAGATTTATCTCGCAAAATAATTTAGGGGTTATGGAATGGGTTTTATCAGTAATCTACATTTAATACTTTTAAATAATGAGATTCGGCTAAAGATTTGAGTGACCAGTGCATGCATTGGATTTAGAAACGTAGTACGAGTAGGAATTAGGATCGAAGTTAGCAGATTCCTGTCTCTAACTAATCAAACCTACTACAGCTAGTCATTCAATCTCAATGTAACCTCTTCACTCATTCACTGTAACACTTGTGTCCTTTTCCTTGCTGGACTTGCTCCTTTCTCGCGGGACTTTTCTTGCTGCACTTTGAGTGAAACTAAAGATATTTAGTAGCCAATGGATTAAGAAGTTTCGAGTTGTTCTCCCGTTACATCATGCATCTACATAACTTGCCCCTTTTGACGAAAAGGGATTGGATAAATCATTCCTGTGTTGCTATCTCCTGCTGAATCACATGCATTGTTCCTCAATCAAATGCATATCTAAAATGATCTGTATTCTCCATGATAATGAATGGTCACAAACTTAAATATGCAGCTTGAAGTTCATCAAGGGTCAATTAAACCACAGTTCAGGCATCCTAAAGATGACAAAGGAATGCCGTTGATTTATCAACCTTCATTAATGTACTATGCTTGGTGTTCGACTTTGATCAGTTCTTCTGCTCACCGGCATCTTTCTCCGGCAGCAGCCGCGCACCGGCTTCTGCGTCGCCGTCCTTCGCCGTCGCCATTGACGCGGCCCTCCTCTCTGCCTCCCTGGCCTTGAGCCCCTGCAGCTTGGCATGGTTGTAGTAGGCGACGCCGAGGAAGGCAATGCCATAGCCGACGAGGTTGACCGGCGTGACGGTGTCCTTGATCACTGTCCAGGAGAAGGCGATGAGCAGCCAGTCCTTGACGACGCCGGCCACGTTCATGGTCAGCGCCGACGTCTTCCCCACCAGCAGGAACACCGCCAGGTTGAGCGCGAACGCGCACAGCGAGTTCGTCCCGAACACGAACACGTCGGGCCGGGCGGCGGCGCCCGCGGCGGCGCGCAGCCGCGGCAGCTCGACGAAGTACCATGGCAGCGTCAAGAACACGAGGCAGCACGGCGCGATGTAGTAGAGCGAGGTGATGGGGTTCAGCGACATGCCCTTGGAGGTGAGCAGTATCTGGATGAGCACGAGCCGCGTGGCCTCGGCGGCGACGGCGGCGAGCTGCAGCATGACGCCGAACGCGTCGAACCGAGCCTCGCCGTAGGCCGCGACGGCGACGCCCGCGGAGATGCCGAGCATGTTGAGCATGGAGGCGCGGCGGAAGGAGTCGGTGCGGAACGCGACGGCGAGGGAGTAGACGGCGACGGGCATGAGCGCCTTGAGCATCTGGATGAAGGAGACGGAAAGGTAGATGTATGCGGAGTTGGAGAACCAGAGCGACAGCGCGTAGAGCGCGCCGATGGGCACGACGGAGGCGGCGTAGAGGCTGGGCGTCATGGGCGGCGACGCCGGCACGGCGACGACGCGGAGGACGCGAACGAGCACCACGGCGAGGGAGGCGCAGAACGCCATGTGGATCATGGTGAGGGAGATGGGGAATGGCCAGTTGTACATCTTGGGATCAAGGATGTACTTGTTGTACACGATCACCGAGAAGCTGAGTGTGATCCACACGCTCACGTACGCGTAGGAGAGCAGCACCGACTTGAGCACCGACGGCGCCGGCGCCGGAGAAGACGACGACGACGACGACACGACGTCCATGGAGGCGGCAGTGCCCTTCCCATTACTGCCGGCTGCGGCTGCAGGGGCCTTGGCTGCGTTGTCGCCGGCGGCGCCCATTTGGGCGAGGTAGGAGAGGAAGCTTTGATGTGGCTGGCGCCTGGCGAGGTGTGACGCCGGCGGTGGTGGGCGCGCGCGCGTAGAGGAAATGCGTCGATCAGTTGGTGGGTAATAAAGTTGGCGGTTGTTGCGGTGACGTGCGTTTCTCTATCGTCATGGACGCTTTACGTGCGGTGTGCTTCAGCGCTCGATCAGTTGCTGAACTGTACTAGCAAATGCTACTACAAATCTACAATTGCTTCATCAGTACTCAGTTACTCGGTTGGTCAACTGCTTGTGCGTGGGATCCGAGAATTAAGAAATTTAGACAGCTAGAAAGAGAATCAACTGCATAACACTTGACAAGAACGTGTGATAAGCTGGCTAGCAGCCTCATTAGCTGCACAGCTGACAATGAAACGGACCATTTCAAACCCGGAGAAACGTTGACAAACAAAAGGCAATTGAATAGGCACTCCAATGATTCGAGCTCACTTAACATGCCTCTTCGATTTCATCACGCATTTCATTCGAGAATGCCGAGCAGAAACTGTTACATTTTTTTTCCAATTTGAAAGATGGGAGATAACTATAGGATTTCACAAAGCCCACCATAAGCCCATAGCTTCACAAGGTCTATGGTCCATTACTCATTTCATCTTGGAATAAGTTCACCGGAGGTCCCTCAACTTAACAGCGAGATTTTTTTTGAGGTCCCTCAACCACAAAACCAGAAATATTCGCCCTTAAACTCATTCAAACCGTTCACCGGAGGTCCCTTAGCAGTATATATGGGTGTTTTTACTGACGTGGCATCCTAGTCAGCAATTTTTTTTAAAAAGTACATGGGCCCATATGTAAGTGGGAGAAAACGATGTGGGCCCCACATCCCTTCTTTCTTCCCCTTTATTCTCTTTTCTCCTTTATTTTCTTCTCTTCTCTCGTCTTCTTCGACGGGCCGAGACCGGCGGGGCGATGGCGGGCAAGAGCGGCGGCGGCAGCCGAAGCAGGTAGGAGCGGCAGGGGTAGGCGAGCGCGGTGGCGGGTGGGCGAAGCAGGCAGGGGCGGCTGTGGCGCTCGCCCCCTACTCCGCTTGGGCAACAGCAGCCGGAGAGACGCCGCCGTCGCCTCGGCCCTCCACCGCTGGCCGCTCCGCCCCTCTCTCGGTCATCCTCTCCCCCATCTAACACCGGCGCAGCTGGTCGCCTCTCCCCTCGTCGGCTGCTCCACGCGCCGCCGCGGCCTCGACCTTGCTAGCGGGACGACGGCGAGCGAGCGCGACAGCGGGCGGCGGGAGACGTGGAGAGGTGGTGGTCGGTACGACGGCGAGCTCGACGAGGGGAGAGCGCGCGGCGTGGTGGCAGAGAGAGGAGAGCAGTGGCGTGTGTGGTGCGTCGACGGGGAAGAGGAGCGGTGCGACGCCCGCCTCCTCCCTCTCCGAGCGCTCGCCGGCATCCCAATCACCTTCCTCTACGCCGGCGCTGACCTCCTCGCAGCCACCGCCGGCCACCACGACAGCTGTGCGTGGGCAAGAGAAATGGGCGGCACACCTCCACCAGCACACTAAGCTACGGCGGGGCGGGCTCGCGTGCAGGCCGGGCGAGCTCGGACGGGCTCGCCGGCCGCCTTCCCCTCCCTCCCAAACCGCTCATCCCGGCACCCGCCGACCACTGCCGCTCTCGCCTGACGCCGCCGCTCTGCTCCCGCGCTCCCGGCGCCTGTCGCCGCGCTCGACCGCCGCCACTCCACTCCCACGCTCGCCCACCGTCGCTCCACCCGCTGCCCACTGCTTCGCTCCCGTGCACTCGGCGCCCGCTCCCACACTCACCCGCCGTCGCGCTCAACCGCCGCTGTTCCGCTCCCACGCTCACCCGCCGTCGCTCCCGTGCTCCCCACGTGCTACCGCGCCCGCTCCATCCCGGCTGCCGCGCCCGCATCTGCCCGCCTGCTCCGCGCCACCCGCCTGCCGCGCTCTTTTGCCGCTCACCGCTGGCCTCCCCTCACCGAAGAAGAGAAGAGAGAAGAGAGAGAAGAGAAGAGGAGAGGAAACGGGGAGAGGGCGGCTGACATGTGGGCCCCACGTATTTTTTTTATTTTTGTTGCTGACTAGGATGCCACGTCAGCAAAACCACCAATGTATACTGCTAAAATGAGTTTAGGGATGAACTTTTGTGGTTGAGGGATCTGAAAAAAATCTCGCTGTTAAGCTGAGGAACCTCCGGGGAACTTATTCCTTTCATCTTTTGAAGTAAACGGCCCAGTTAAAATCCCGTACCATTCTTCTCGGCCCACTTTGATCTGTCACTCTTCCAGCATCTCGCTCGCCGCTCGCGCCGCCTCCCTCGCCGCCGCCGCCATCCCCATCTCCGCCGCAACCAAGGCTTGAGGCTACTGGCCGTGGAGGGGGAACCCAAGAGCGAGCCGCGGGCGGGGAAGAGAGGAGGGATCTAGGCGAGAGAGATGGGGTGGAAGGCTGCCGAGAAGCTCATCAGGCACTGGAAGATCCTCCGCGGTGACAACGTAAAATCTCTTTCCCTCAATCCCTCGTATTCCTCTTCGTCCTCTCCGTATCCTCGCGAAATCTCCAATCTCTCTTTGTTTGCTTCCATTCCAGGTGATGATTATAAGAGGCAAGGACAAGGGGGAGAGCGGGCTCATCAAGCGGGTCATCCGGTCGCAGAACCGTGTCATCGTCGAGGGAAAGAATTTGGTAGGTTATTGCTGTACTAATGCTGTAATGCATCCTCCTCCAGAAATTGTCTAATACTGCGTCAGTTTTGGCTTGATTGGTTGAAAGATTTCAAGGTTTTCCCTCGTCCTGGTTACCTATGACGGACGGCGGCGGCGCTTTTGGCGTCGTTTTCCTTCTTGGAGGCGTTGTTTAGAAGTCCTATTCCTTTGGGGTGTCGTGTGCTGCTTTGTTTTAAGCAGTAGGATCAGACGTAGACGCGTGGCGTGGTTGATTATGCTTGTATTTTATTCCTTCTTTATCAATAGAAACGTCGCACTATCTTGTGCGGGTTGTTTCAAAAAAAGATTTCAAGGTTTTCTGAAAATTTTCGCTTATTATTTAGCCTGATGCGAACGACTGCATTTTTTTTTTCTTTTGGGATAAAAGGTTGTAGCCCAAACCATTGAAAATTTAGAACAGAGGCACAAACGCTTCATTTAATGAGATAAATGAGTGTATAACGCTTTATCTGTCAGATGGACTTGCAGTATGTAACCGAGCATAGAGCACTCGGTTTATTGTCGAAACTCCCAAGTCCTGAGTTCAGACTTCAGATTAGTGGTAGGAGCTGCAAACATAGTTTATGACTGTTGTAAATACTCATAACATAATACTATTCCACAGACCATACATCCATCGTGGCACAAGGATAGCATAATATGAAGAGAGTTTTTATCAAGAAGAATTGGATACTTGTGCATTTTATCGTACCTAAGCTCATCAATTAGCTAAGCATGATCCAACAAAAGCAGTGGTCAAATAATTTGTCATCTACCAGAGCATAGAATAATCAGAATTTGTAGATGCCTGCTGGATCCTTGTGTTCTATGTACTGCATACTGCTAAACGCTCTATCTCTTTTGGATCATATCATGTGTGTATGTGTGATTTGTATGCCATAACAGAGGAGTAAATACTGAATTAGTGCTTCCAGTACCCAGATGGATCATGAGGAATTGATTTTAATGGATGCCATAGAAGAATGGTGAAACTGTAAAACTCTTGTCCTTCTAAAATCTTCACATGTTTGTTGTTACATGTTACTAGTACATTTTTCTTTTTGACCACTGGGCAGATGCAATCAGTAACAACTAACGACTAACAACATTGTCCTATTCTTATGTATGTGAGTGTTCTCTCTTGTACATAAGAGTTTGCATACTTTTAATTGTACCTTAATGTCATTTCAGGTTAAGAAACATATCAAGCAAGGAGAAGGACATACAGGTGGGATTTTCTCAATTGAAGCTCCACTTCATGTTTCAAATGTTCAAGTACTTGATCCAGTCACTGGGTATGATACTTAACCATCCATCTTGTCATCTAGACAGAATCTTATTCTCCCATTTCTACTGCATTTTACTGTTTAAAGGTAAATTTATCCACGGAATGTTGGCAACAGGAAACCATGTAAGATTGGATACAAGTATTTGGAAGATGGGACTAAAGTCAGGTTTGCTAGAGGAATGAATGCATCTGGTGCTGTGATACCCAGGCCAGAAATTTTGAAGGAGCGAAGAAAGCCAAGACCTACATCACGTATGTCTCTGTTCATTGCATGGTTCCCTTTCAAGTGCATATACTTTTTTGGTGTCTATGCTGTTCCTTTCCTGGATCATAAAATTAAGCTGTGCCAATTTGATATTCAACTGAGATCACAATAGTAATAAATTTTGCTCCCACCGTTTCATATTATAAATCGTTTTGACATTTTTTTTGTAGTCAAACTTTTTAAGTTTGACCAAATTTATAGAAAAATATGCATCATTTTCAACACAAAACAAACATATTATCAAAATATATTCAAAATTATATTTAATGAAACTAATTTGGTGTGGTAGACGTTGATACATTTTTCTATAAACTTAGTCAAACTTAAAGAAGTTTAACTAGAAAAAAAAGTCAAAGTGACTATGAAACGGAGGGAGTAATAAAGGAAAGCATCAATTGCTTATAATAATCTTTGGTACTGTAACTCATGCGTAATTACCAGTTTACTACAGTAGATGTTTCTTATGATGTTTGGCTTGTGGTACTATTGTTTGTTTTGTAATTGTTCTGCATTGGAACGATAATAGCAGTTGAGTAATAATACAAACTGAAAAAAAAAATCATGACTCTGATCTGTCCATGACCTTTACATACCTGGAGTCAAAATATTAAATATGTTTGCCTTTGTATTTTGGCTATCTATTATCGAATGACTAATATGTAATTGACATGCAAGCAATTGCGTTCTACTCCTGTCAATATATTAATCTGCATATGATGTAGTATATATTTTCCTTTTTTGTGGGGAAACTAAATTTGGCCATTTTGTTTCATACATGCAGCTGGCCCAAAGGATACACCAATTGAGCATGTGCTGGAGAAAACCTATGATGCCAAGGCTGGAATTGGGATGCCTGATCTATAGGCTAGTTCTGTCTGGGTTGCTACTCAGGGAGAGTTCATTGTATGTGTGACAACACCCCAGTTCAGATAGCAGGAAGTCTGTCCTCAACTTTGCACCTGTATTGCTCTCGAAATAATTTTGTAATGGTCACTGAAAAAGCATCACCCGCATGTTTTTAGTCTCTGTTTTGGTTAGATTCTTTATCCCACTGGAAATGCACATACATTTGGCAAAAAAAGTTCAAATCATATATTCTGTTCTGATGACGCCTAAGCTGCGGCAGGGGCTTCTTCTGCCACATCATCTCTCTTCTTCTTGTCGCACGGCGGCTCGGAAACCTGCGGCGCCGGCTGCTGCTGCACAAAAGCAGCGGATTCCTGGCGCGCCGCGGAATCCGGAGGCGCCCTCGGCGACACATACATCCGGCAGATGACGGGCTCCTCGTCGCCGGCGACGGCTTGCTGCCGGCAGCAGTGGTGCTCCTCCATCAGCCAGTCGGTGTAGCTCCCGTCCTTCTTGAAACGGAAGTTCTGCGTCTCGCCGACCTTGACCCCTGCCTTGTTCTTCACCCCCTTGCTGTTCTGCCTCACCCAGGTGCCATCCCCCGCGGTTCGCTCTTTCCTGGTGCTACTCCCCTTGTGCCGCTTGCAGCTAGTGAAGAAGAGCCTGCCACCTTTCTCGCACCTGGGCACCGGCGCGAACTTTCCGGCGAGGTCACTGGGCTCGCTGCCGTAAACATCGGCGCGGCAGATGAACTTCTCGGTGTCTTTCGTCGGCTTTGCCGGCGATCAGCCGTGGCAGGTAGAAGGTGATGAGATCCTCTGCAGACGGGTTGAAACGAAAGCCTAAAGTGAGCATCTTCTCGACGTATTGCTCCATCAAATCGAAATTTCGTAAGCGGATCGGAGAGACGAAGACACGTATTGGCGGGAAAGTTGTTTAAAAATACAGAGCCATTGTGATGTAGGAGTAGTACGTGACAGGTACAGGATTTCGACACAAATTTAGATGTACAAGCAGACACCGGTACAAACTTGGAATCGGTCGGGGAAAGAAGAGCATTGTTTCAGTGGCTATCGACGAAGCTCTTGACGGCGTCGACGAGCTCCCGCGCCCGCGCCGCCGCGACGGGGTCGGACTCCACGGCGAACCAGTTGAGGTAGAACACGTGGCCGATCCCGCGGCCGCGGCTGACCACCGTCTCCACCGCCTTGCCCGCGCGCGCCATGGCCTCGCCGTACTCCGTCTGCGCGTCCCGGAGCATGTCCTCCTCCGCGACCATCACCAGCATTGGCGGCAGCTGGGCGCCCTCCGCCGCCGTCACCGCCGCCGCCGGAGACGTGTACGGGTGGTGCCTACCGGCAACGCGAGCACGACGAACTTGTCCACCGTCTCCTGCGTCATGAACGGGGTGGGCGGGTTCTCCAGCTCCGACGGGCTCTTCTCCGGCAAGATGAAGCCCGGGTGGAGCTGGACACCACCGGCGAGGCGTATCGGGTCGAGCGCCTCGGCCCCAGCCTCGCCGGCGCGTGCCGCCACGTTGTGCACGAGGACGCCGCCCGCGCTGTCGCCGATGAGGAACACGCGTGAGAAGTCGGCGGCGCCGCAAAGGCGTTCGACCGCAGGATGTGCGATGGTGTCGCTGCCCCCGGACGCGACGTCACGGAGCCAGAGCAGCGCGGCGTGTCCGGCGTCGATGGCGGCGGGTAGGCGGTGCTCCGGCGCGAGCGGGAGGACGACGGAGACGATGCCCGCGACGTCGAGGTCCACGGTGAGGCGGGCGTAGAAGCGGTGGCAGAGCGACCACGCGGCGTGGGACAAGCAGAAGCCGCCGCCGTGGAAATGAACGAGAACAGGGCGGCGCCTGGCCGGCGCCGTCGTCGTCAGGTACAGGCGGACGTCGACGCCATGGTCCGTGGCGACGTCGTGGACGGTGACCCCGTCGCGTGGGTCGTCGTACGGCGGGACGAGGACCATGAACGCGGCGGCTTCCGGCGGGCCGAGGCGGTCGACGGAGCCGTCGGAGTAGACGCGGATCCAGTTGGTGACGGACTCGACCAGCGTCCTGGTCGTCGTGGTCGGGTTAGCCGCCTCTTGACGCTCCTTGGTCGCGGCCATTTGCGGCAATGTTGCCATGGCAGCAGCTGGCCAGATGATCGAGTACGTAGCAGTGAAAATGTGAAATGAACAGGCTATGCTGCGTTTGTGTTTTATAGACGAAGCACGGATTCACGGCGAGCATGGATGACCTGGCCTTGCAAACTCTGCGCGCATACGTACGTCGTGTGGACGCGCTGGCTTGACGCCATCGTTGATTGGCTCAAGTCGTCTTTAATTTGTTGTAGTATGTTAATTTGAGTCTTTCACTTAGTCTTGGTGAGTCGTTTCGTCTCGGTCTAGCTTTAATAAAGCTCGATCGACAGAAAATGGTGGCCTTCTTCGCACCTAACACTTCCGATAAAATGGTGTGTCCTATCAAATCTCTCTGGAATGGAGGATTACTATTTTGCTCCAATAACTTATATGTTGATATATAGTAATGTGGTTGGAATGTCCATGTCCAAAACCAACTAAAGGCCTACAGGCTGCTCAACTTATTAATTAAGTTAATTTGCTTCTTCGTTGGAGTTTCAGTTCGTATTTGCTAAAGTCAGTCAACTGCAATTCCCTAAATCCCATGCAGTTGACTAACAATAGCCGTTGGATAGATCAAATTGCCCTTCAAATATCACTAACACGGAGTCCTTTCCCGGCAAGCCGACGACGGAGCAGTGATGACCAAGCAGCGAAACCACATCGCCAATGCCGCAGTTTTTCAGTGAGTTAGCTGTCATTCGATCAAGGGATGTTCGGGATATGGCACGGTGTGAGAGGAGGAGATAGTTTTTCATAGAGAGAACTGCTCGAGCGGTTTCTAAAACTTATGCGGCCATGATGCAGGTGTGTCATCTAGGTCTCTTAAGATGCATTTTTGGATCTCAAACTTATCTTAGGTGTTATATAGTTCCAAACAAGCTTTAACTTGTTCCATGCGTTGATGTGGCATGTCACGGTAGTGCCTACATGTTAGTCGGACCCATGTGTCAGTCATATAGGAAAAAAAATAAAAAACATATTCTATCCTCTCTACCTTAGATTTTTTTAATCTTTTTTTCTATCTACTTAAGAGGAGAAAATATGGTTTTAAATTTTATTTTTTTATATATGCTTGATATGTGGATTCCATTGACACGTAGGTGCCACCATAGCAATGCCATATCAGCGCATGAAGCGGGTTAGAACTTGTTTGGACCTATATTACACCTATGACTAGTTCAGGGACCTAAAAATGCATTTTTGGAGTTTAGGGAGCTAATCACCTAAATGACCCACCCACACAAGTTTAGGAACCGGCCATGCACTTCATTCTTTTTTTCATACTTTGATGTGCGATTTCCCCTCGTTGATTCATGTCATATTTGTTCTTTCTTTTTCAGATTTTATAGGTCAAATGAATAATCATGCATATTTATGAAATGATATATATCGCATATGAATAATTTAATTATCTTATTATATTTTTTTGTAACTGTTTAGATGTTATGTAAAAATGAGAGGATATTCCCTTAAGAGATAAAAATATTTCTCTACAGGAGAGTTATCTAGTGTCATATTTTTTGTGAGGTAGGCCTGAGAGACAATACTTGTATTTATTTTTAGAACTAGAGAGACTTGTTGGGTTATGATTACTTCCTGGCTATATATTCGAACCTTAGAGTAGTATATGGATCATTCAAAAGTGATATATAGCGTTTGAAAATATCAAGCAACCAACAAATACTATAAGATATCTTAGGGTTTCTTTATTTCCACCCCGACGAAGTTTTTTTCATGTAAACACACAACTAGTACGTGTAGTTCGGTGCACACTAGCATGTAACTATACAAAGGGTTATCATATAAGGGTTTAAAAACCATCATAGTATATGAAAAAAAATGTTTTTGTGTGTCAGTAATATCAATATGTTACTATTGGAACCACATACTTAATGGCTTCCAAAAGAATGATAAGATATCTTTTGAACCATTAAGAACGATAAGAATGGTTTCTTTATTAGTAGAAAAAAACCTATATTGTTAAGCAATCATATTCTTGCGGTGAAATATGTGATTTACCAGTCGAATAAAATGTGCATCTAATCCTAGTGTCCACGAATATTACACACCCAACTATCCCAGTGTGTTGTCTATAGGAATTTATGGGGCCAAGGATATGGCATTGGTCTCATTCTCTAATTTGAATGTAAGTTGAGGGCCACACTTGTGAATATGGTGGTATATGTGCAGTCTTCGGTGTAATCGGGAAAAACGCTGCATGTAATTGGATGCCAATATGCTCATGCATACTGAGTATGCTCTATTTTATTCACGCAGGAAATTTAACAGGGAAGTTTGAACCCAACTAGAAAACATTCACCAAACCGATCAAACTAGGTGTAACAAACATGCAGAAACTGAACACAACATACATCCATGCACGGATGGAGATGGACCAGTGCATGGCTAAAAGATAGCTGCACTCTGCACATGCCAATTATCTCACAGGACATGCATGCATGATCTTCATTGCAAATTGCTATTAGGATTTAGGGAGAATCAGTATCTGTCGATAAATGTCTTGATGGTGTCGATGAGCTCCCTTGTCCGCTCCGCCGTGAGGGGATCGGACTCCACGGCGAAGAAGTTGAGATAGAAGACGTGCGCCACCGCGCCCCGGCTCACCACCGTCTCCACCGTCTTCCCGACGCGCGCCATGGCCTCGCCGTACTCCACCTGGGGGTCATGGAGCAAGTCCTTCTCCGCCACCACCAGCAACATCGGCGGCATATGCAAGCGCGCCACGGCCTCCGCCACCAGCGACGGCGACGTGTACGGGCTGTCCTTGTTCATCCCCAATGGTACACCGAGCGCCAGGAGCTTGTCCACCATGTCCTCCGTCAGGAACAAGCTCGGCGGGTTCTCGAGCTCCGACCGGCTCTTCTCCTCACGAGCGAAGCCCGGATTGAGAAGTACCCCGCCGGCGAGCCTCACCGCGTGGAGATCAGCCCCCGCGCCGTCATCCTTCGCCGCCGCGTGTGCCGCGACGAGGTGCACGAGGTTGCCGCCGGAGCTGTCGCCGATGAGGAACACGCGCGAGAAGTCGGCCTCGTCACGTAGGCGTTCCACCGCCGGATCAAGGTTTCCTTCATCGCCGCAAGCGACGTCCCGCAGCCAGAGAAGCGCGGCATGGCCAGCGTCAATGGCGGCAGGGAGGCGGTACTCCGGCGCGAGTGGGAGGAAGACGGAGACGATGCCGGCGACATCGAGCTTGGCAGCAAGCGGGGCGTAGAAGTTGTGGTAGAGCGCCCACGATGGACGCGATAGACAGAACCCACCACCATGGAGGTGAAGGAGGAGAGGACGACGCCGCCGTGGCCGGGGCGCGGCTGCCGGCGGCTCGGCCGGGAGGTAGAGGCGGACGTCTACACCCCTGGCCGTGGTGACGTCGTGCACGGTGACGCCATTGCGCGGCTCGGTGTAGGGCGGGACGATGACGGTGAAGGGCTCCGCGTCCGGTGGTGTCAGCCGCTCGACTGTGCCGTCGGAGTAGAGGCGGAGCCAGCCGGTGACCTCCTCGACGACGGTCTTGCTAGGATCGGTCTCCGGCGCCGTGGTTGTGGAGGGCATTTCGCTATTTCAGCCGTGGACTCTCTTGCTATCTTGGCTTTCTCTCGAAAGCCGGATCATATATATATTCGGCTTGACTGGGGAGGTTATAGCTGGTGCAGCTTCTTCTCTCAGAATTAAAAACTCTCTCAAACGGTCTGGTTTTTTATTTAAATTTGAAGAAGTTGTAGTTGTAAAATTAAAAAATAAACTAGAAAATAAAAGTTGGAAGATTTTTCATATTTTTAAAAGCTGGTTACCAACCAGTTGCGCTTTTTATAACTCTAAATAGACCCATTAATCTGTATCATTGTTTTTTTTTTTAAAAAAGAAGACCTCAACCGCCTATTTAAAGGTCAGCGAGCTACATCGTTGGTTGTTGGAACAGGGATATGATTAATATCGGCTAACGTGCTGGAGTAGTATAATACACAAAGTCCAGGAACTAATTAAATAATGCGATAGAATCAAAGAATGATTTTTCTAACATACTTTACTAGAAATGCTTACAGCATATAGATTAGCAGACTATAAATCAACTATAAACAGATTTTGAGTAGTAGCAGATTTATAGACAGTTATAGTACGAACTCTAAGATGCATGTGTGTATGACATGTGAGACTAGATATTAATTATATAGTATATGTTTATAAATACCTAATATATGAATTAGCTATTAAGTTTACTATTAGGCGTAACATATATAGCAATTCCGTTACTATAAACAATTTAGAGCCCGCCGTTGGCTATATTATTAAACTGTTCATAGGCCTTATCCGACTAATTAATGAATTAATTAGGTGCTTAAGGTCAACTTTCGGATTAAGCGTGTAGTGCAGTGTCGTTAGTTTAAGATTTGTTCGAAATAGGACCAGACCACGTTATTATCTCTGCCAACTGGCGTGCGGAAGTAAACTCCAAAATTTAAGAGAATTGGCTTTGAAAATTACAAAATTTCTAAGATAAATGTAACTATATAGCACACAGTTATATTTATTTTGAGACGGAGAAAATAAGAAGTTATTACATAAACGACAGCACGTAAAATGAAGCATGCGTTATTACATAATTAATTAAGTATTAGCTATTTTTTTAAAAAAATAGATTAATTTGATTTTTTTTAAGCAACTTTCATATAAAAACTTTTTGAAAAAACGCACCGTTTAGCAGTTTGAAAAACGTGCGCGTGAAAAACGAGGGAGAGGGGCTGGAAACTTGGAGATAATAACAGAGCCATAGACATGTCTTTTGTGTTATCGGTCAAACCGGTAGAAGAGATCTCTACTTAATAAAATCTGTAGAGCTGAGCTAGAAGCATGCAACTCACGTGCACTTGTACTTTTGTAGTTAAAGAGAATAATATACTCCCTCCGTTTTTTAATAGATGACGTCGTTGATTTTTTCTCACATGTTTGACCATTCGTCTTATTCAAAAATTTTATGCAAATATATAAGATATAAATCACACTTAAAGTACTATGAGTGATAAAACAACTCATAACAAAATAAATTATAATTACGTAAATTTTTTAAATAAAACGAATGGTCAAACATGTAATAATAAAAAGTAAATGTCATTATCTATTAAAAATGGAGGTAGTATAACACAAGTTGTTTCGCCAATAGTCACGTATACTTGCTCTCCTCTGCTTTTTTCTTAATATATCTTCTAGATCAGCAAAACGTATTAATATCACTTTATAAACACGTCTAATCACTAGTTCATTGTACTCCCTAATTAGTTTCTCCACCAATCAGACCGGCCGCTTTCGTCACACGTAAAATATCAGGAAAAAGTACACCGGATGTCCCTCAACTTATCATCGAGTTACAAATATCATCCCCAACCACAAAAACCAGATATATAACATCTCTCAACTTTTAAAACCGTTCACTTTAGGTTCTTCAGTGGTTTTGACCCTGTTTTTATACGACGTGGTGGCTGAATTACCATAGGACCCACGTGGGCCTCTCCTATCAGGATGCCACATATCACCCTCTCTCCTTTCCCTTCCTCCTCTCTCTCTCTCTCTCTCACTTTTCTCCTCTAGCAGGCCGGCCGATGGGTTGTGAGGAGGTTGCCGGGGCAAGGAGGGAGAGGAGAAGGTCCAGCGGCTAGCAACAGGCGATGCGGGAGCAGGCCGGTTGGGGAGGAGGCCGGTGGCGCAGAGGCCGTAGGCATGGAGGAGGGTGACGGCGGAGGAGCGAGGGCGGTAGGGATAGGGCCGACAGGCGGTGGCCGCGTGGAGAAAGAGGCCTCCCCGCCTCCTCCCTCCCCGTGCGCGCTCGCCGTTGGACTCCCCACTCCCCTCGCCGGCCGTCCCGCTCGCGACTGGGAGGGCAAGGTGGAGGAGGTCACCGTCGGTCCAAAGGGAGGAGACGGAATCGGTGTACCTCAACCTGCGCGTCGCCGCCGTCTCCAACTTCACCTCCTGGATCGTCGAGACGAAGATGCGGCCGCGCAAATCTGGCAGCTCAGCGACGTCTGCCGGTCTCCATCATGGGAGGAGGCAGGAGGAGGACCCAACGCCAACGAGGGCAGTGGTGGGAGATGGCGGGGCGGTGGCCGTCATCGGGCGACGTCACCTCGGCTTGTTGAGGAGGAGACGATCATGGTTCTTGACGACGAGGTCAGCAAGGGAGATCGGGAAGCCGGTCTGCACGGGGGAGGGCTGGTGCGGGAAGGTGGATAGATGGAGGAAGGTGAGGAGGCGGATGAGAGGATGCGGCGGAGGAGGGAGCGGAGGAAATCGGAGGCAAAGGCCTCGGCGAGGAGGGAGGAATGGACGGCGCCATTGTGGCAGTAGGAGGAGCCGTCGTCTCCCCTTCTTGCGCGTCGGCCATCGTCGGCCGCCGCCGCCCTAGCATCGGCCGCCACCGGCCACCCTCCCTCTCGCCTTCTCCCGCGTTGGCCATCGCCGGCCACCGCCGACCGCCCTCTCTCTCTCCCACCTTGCGCCCATGGGCCGGCCTATCCAAAGAAGAATGAGAGAGAGTAACCGAGTAAGGGAGAAGAGAGGATCAGGAGAGATGGGAAAAAGAGTGAGTGATGTCGTGGACACACTGACATGTGGGGCCCACGCTGACTCAGCTGTCACGTAGAACAAAACCAGAGCCAAAACCACCGAAGAAACTATTGTGACCAGTTTTGATTAGTTAAGATACGCCGGATATCAGTTTTGCGTTTGGGGGACGATTTTGTAACTCGATGACAAGTTGAGGGACCTTCGGTGTACTTTTTCCAAAATATCATGTCTAGGCCAGGCCCATGCACAGGCCCATGAATCGGTCGAGCCCACCTTGTGATAATGTGCAGTGTTGCCTGATGATAACTCCACATGCGTTGCAGCCAGGGTTCTACTTACCGTCGGGGGTACGGTAATATAAATACCGCCGGTAACCTCCTTAAATTCAAATAAATTTAAAAATTAATTTGAATTTTTGATAAATTTTGCACGGTTTTGTACGGTTTTTCACGGTTACCGTGCGGTAACCGTGCTTACCGCCGGGGCACGGTAACCCCGACCTTGGTGGTTTGGGAAACCTTGGTTGCAGCTAGGACGAGCAAGACTTAACGGGAAACTATTTTGATTTGTCGAGAGAATATTTCCTCATTTTCTTAAAAATCATGTTATGAAAAATTCTGGAAAAATTTAATGCTACTCATACAACATATCTATACAACTCCATAAAATCTCAGGTCTGAATTCATCTCACACGTCGAGATATAAAAAAACAAATTCAGCTTATGAATAGTAGCATACTATTCACATATGCATTTTTTCCTCGATATGTAGATTGAATTTGAATTTGATTTTTGGTGAATCGATAGATATCACCGTACAACTATTTGTATCAAATTTAGAAGAAAAATATACATAAGGGATATCCCTCAGTGATTAGAATCCACTCCCGAGTTAACGTGCACACATAATAAGATGCACGTATTGTATTGTCCGTTGCCTGATGAAAACGACCCCACGCTAGCTTTGCTTGTTCCGCAGACATCGTCCTGATGATCTGTGCTATGAAAAATGTAATACTCCATCTATCACTAATCACTTACCCTAATCTATTTCCCAAAGCTTCCAGTGTCAGAAAAGCTATATGGACTCTGGAGTAGTACTATGCGAGTGAGTGTATTGAAATGTATGGAGTACATCAATCACGCTTCGAATGAAGCAAAGAAAATTCGAGAGAGCAAAAATTGTCTACAGAGCAGTAACATATGTGACATGTGAACCTGTGTCATCGAGCGTGCGCGGCGAGGGGCACGGCCTCCGCGAGCGGCGTGGCCATCGGCGACGGCAGCGGCGAGTCGCGGCACACCGGGCAGGTGGCGCTCACCCGCAGCCACCGCTCCGCGCACTCCGCGTGGAACCGGTGCCCGCAGCCGTGCCCTCGCCGGAGCGCGTCGCCTGCTACGAACTCCCCGAGGCAGATGGCGCACTGCGCCCCCGCGCACGCGTCGTCGTCGTCACCGACGCCGACGTGTAGGAGCTTGGGGTAGAGCGCGTCGATGGCCGGGCCGTCGAGGCCTAGCACCACGACGGCGGACGCTGCCGGGGCGCCGCCGCCGTCGTCGTCGGCGAGGAGCACGGCAGCTGCTCCAGCCTTGGCCCGAACGCAGATGTAGGAGGCGAGCATGACGGTGGAGATGAAGACGAGGACGCCGACGGCGATGGCGATGCCGTAGCCGAGGCACACAGCGCCGCCGACGTCCGCTGCGGTGGGCGCGAAGGAGGCGGCGTCGGGCGAAGATGCGGGCGCGAGGGCGAAGGAGATGGACGCGTGCATTCGTAGCAGCAGCGTGGGCAAATCAAATGGGATAGATGGAGACTGCGGCTGCAGTGAAGTGGAGCTTGCAGCTGGATAGTGGCACGAACGAGCTGCGATGCGTGCGGCGTATGAGTTGAAAATGGCGTGACAAAATTTAAGGCGGAGCTGGTAGTAAATGGAGGACGCGCAGAAGAAGAAGCTGATCTGAATTGATTCTGAATTTCAATGGCCAGAGTGTGTACGCCCCCGTAGCAGTGTGAGTAAAGGATTGATGGTGAACTAGGAAGTCGACGAATCATACGAGTTTCAGAATTACTGTGTTACATTACAGTAGTAAGCACTAAACAGTCGATTTGTTCTTGCTCACCGTGCAATCACGTGGGAAAGAAAACTAGTGATCATCACGAATCATGCAGAGCACACAAGCAATTGAAAGAGGACCACATTGCAACATTGAACAATACTATAAATTTATCGCAAATGAATGTAAACACAAGTACTCGCGGGACACTAGTCGACAGTAGGTTGTTGGGCTTGGAATCGCACCAAACCACGGAGAAGTAGACAACAATAAAAATGTCTACTTCTCCGTGACCACAGTCAACAGTCCCCCACAGCCCCCGCGTGCTGATATCCTCTAGAAAAATGCTTCAGAAAATGAATTGCAATCGCTATCAATCGAACAATCACTCGTATACTAGTTTGCTTCTGATAATTTTCGCAAGAAATGTACTCGAATCGAATCCAACTGCGAAAATGCCTATGCTAAATAACAACTGGAGAAATTTTGTGGCAACCAATCAAGTTGCTGTTCAACAAACAATCCCACGATGGCGCCATGTTACTTGACATTGCACCAAGCTGTCCATCCACCAAATAGTACGAATCTCACTGAACTACGGGGACCACATCTACCAACATTCTCAGCACTCGACGCCGGCGCACGCGGCGCGGCGGAACCCGGGCGGCAGGTCCGGCGCGCGGCTCCACTTGCCGCCGGCGATGTCGTAAACCAGCACCATCCCTTCCAACGCGCCGCCGCCGGCATTGTGACCCCTCACGGCCGCGGCGCTCACCACGGCCGCCACCCTGTTGGTTCCTAGGCCAGCCATCGCCACGCGCACCGCCATGCCGAGCCCCACCGACCCCCTCGGCATCGGCGGCGCCTCGAGCGCCACCCACCCGCCCCAGCCTCTGCCGTCACCGCCACGGCCGGTGGCGCCGGACCACCTCCAGAAGGAGAGCTCCACCGCGTGGCTGGCTACTACGTACAGGTGGTCACCGACGCCGCACGCCCCCACGACACAGCCGCCGCCGGGGAGCGCACGGGGGCGCGCCCAGGTGCCGGACGCGACGTGCAGCGCGTCCACCGACCCGGCGCACACGTGCGCCTCGAGCGCCCGCGCGCCCTCGCCGGACACCGCGACGCCCCCGGCGACGTAGAACACGCCTCCCGCACTCGCGCCGGCGCACCCGTACCTCCGCCGCGGGGCCTCGCCGACCACGCGCCACGCGTCGACCTCCGGGTCGTACTCCTCGACCGCCGCGGTGCGCGCGGATCCGCCGGCGACGTAGATCCGATCACCCACGGCGGCCGCGGCGAACTTCTTCCGCGGGAAGAGCGTGGGTGCGCACGCGCGGGCGGCGCCGGTGAGCGCGTCGACGCGCAGCGTCGCCCCGCGGCCGATGAGGAAGACATCCCGTCCCAGCACGACCGCGCGGGCATGCGCGAACACAGAGCCGCCGCAATGCAGCAGGGTCGGGGGCAACGGCAGCGGGGCGACCTCGAGCACGGGCACGGAGGATTCAAACCGGAGCAGCGCCTGCGGGACGCAACCGTTGTCGGAGACGGAGAGGGCGAGGAGGGAGGGGCGGAGGTGGGCGTGGGCGCGGCGGAGGTGGAGGAAGGCGTCGGAGGCGAGGAGCGTGGCGAAGCGGCGGGAGACGGCGGGGAGCGGAGGGAGGGAGGCGCGGGGGACGCGGGCGAGGCACTCGAGGAGGAGGTCGTCGGGGAGGGTGGAGATTGGGGGTGCCGGCGGCGACGAGGGAGGCGGCGGTTGCGGGGTGGGGCAAAGAACGGGGACGGCGATGTGGCGGGCGGGGTCGGCGGGGATGCAGGACTTGACGAGCCACGAGAGGCTGCGGGAGTGGCAGCTCTCGGCGGCGGGCATGGCGGATTGCCGGATTGGGAGCTCAGCTCAGGCGGGCAGCTGCTGCTGCGTGCGGTGGGTTGTGATTGGGCATGGGGAATCGTGGGAGGTGGAGTGGAGGGGAAGTCGTTGGGCGGCTGGGCTCGTGCCCCCCACCTTGTGCGGGCCGCAGCAACGGCGACGGTGGTGGAGCCGTTGCTTTGCTTTGAAATTCGAAGGTTTGGGTTTAAAATTTGAGCGTTTTGAATTGGTTAGATCAGCGTTGGCCTGGAGGAATAACAGTGTACTTTACTTTACAGCCATCTGATTTCATCTAAAAATAGTTTTAATAGACCAAACTAATTTATCTGATCATATTTTAGTTCCCCATCTGAAATGTTTGGCTTGACCAACACGTGAAGAGCTCATACACAAGACTTTATAGGCAGATCAACCTGACCTACAGACGGTACAGTACAAACGATTCACCATCTAGCACACAAAGGTAGTAGCTTCCAAAGTTCCAATGTGAGCCATTCAGCAATTCGCACTCCGTTTTTTTCATGCCCTAAAGTTGAACATGCAAATACACAAGACAAGTTAGTGCTTTATGGTTTATGGAAAGGGAAGGGACATAGAGCGCACCAGTAAACGGTAAAGTGCATTGTCCTGAGCTGGTGGTTAATGGCCATCATCAAAGTTGATGGATGCAAATCACCAAAGTCAGACCAGATTGGCAGTCAATTGTGCCAAGGAAAAAAGGACAACGATTATGGTTAACACGAGTGCAAAGAATAGAAGAATGTAAGACCAAGTGGCATCAGAAAGCATCACATGATTCGTTCAAAAAAAGAAAGCATCACGTGTGTGGTTTCCGGGAAGCTGCAAATCACCTGCAAACTCAACTAGCTGCAGCCTCCTTCAGATACATATATTCTCCTCTCTGTAGTCCGTAGCAGCCTGGCAGATTGCAGATGCCAGTACCAACCACAATGACTCAATGAGCGAGCGGACGATTCCTCCTCCTGTGTCGTCGCATGGCGAGGACTTCGCCGAGGTTGTGGTGGTGCGCCATGGGGAGACATCGGCGAACGCCTTGTGCATCATTCAGGTCGGCGGTCTTGTCTTCCCTTTGTTCCTGTCACCAATAACTTGTCCTTTTCAATTTTTCTTGAGAATTATACTTGGTTGATGGCCTTCTTCAGTCAATAGCTCTTCAGTCCCCTCGTCGTCATTCCATCAATTTTCTCGAGTTGACAGATCATCAGAACAATTTTAACAGGGACAAACGGATATAGAGTTGAATGAGGCTGGCAGACAGCAAGCTGTTATGGTGAGCTTTACCAAAACATTTCAAATAATGAAACAGGATTGTAATTTGGGGTTTTGTCTGAACTTGGAATTCCATTATCGAAAAACCTGAACTTGGAATTGGTGCTAGCGTCTAAGGTTGCTCGTCGGTTGGCTAAAGAAGCTAAGCCAGTTGCCGTGTACTCCTCTGATCTGAAGCGTGCTGCCGAAACGGCTCAAACTATAGCTACAGCTTGCAATGTGTCCAACGTAAGTACATGCATTATATGCTGAAGCTTCCATTTTCCAGTGGTAAACTTGCTATGTTTCTCATTTGATTTGCTTTCAGCTGGTGTTGAGTCCTGCACTGAGAGAAAGGCACATGGGAGATCTCCATGGTTTGAAGTTTGAAGATGCCGTCAGAAGCAAGCCTGACGCTTACAAGGCTTTCTCATCTGAAGACAGAAGCCAAGAAATCCCTGTAACTTTCATCCTTAATTTTCTCACCAACTTCTTAGGCTTGATAATGATTGGCCTAACATTAGTAGATGTGTTTCGAACAATTTTCTGTTTTGACAGGGTGGCGGGGAGAGCCTTGACCAACTATCTGAGCGGTGTGTTTCGTACTTGAACACAATAGCTGGGAAGCACAAGGGTAGGCAGTATTGTAATATTCTCACTCTGAAGTTTTTGTATGGTTGACAGAATAGTGAAATTTGCTTGTTGAGTTAGCTATTTCAAATCTGGTAAGCATGCTATTAGTAAAGTGAAAGCTAGCGGTGCAAAGAAAATTCAGAATGCACCTGCACATTCTTATGCCGAGTCATTCAAGCAGTTGCTCATAATACACAGAAAATGAAGTTATTATGTATGCTGCATTGGCAGGGGAGCGAGTGATTGTGGTCTCCCATGGAGCGAGCATCGAGGAACTCTGCAGACACGCCGATCCAACCAGCTCAGTTCGCAGGAGAATCCCAAACACTTCGATCTGCGTCTTCAACATTTCTGGCTCCACCGGCCATTGGATTCTCGAGAGGTTTGGAGATGTCGCCCATCTCAACGAAGACGACTTCCCGTAGAATGCATTTGGTGGCGATGAGGCCTCTACGTAGTGCCTCCAACCAACCAACCAACCGGCTTCTTGGGCCATTTCATGAATCCGGGCATGAACTGTTATCTGTTTGTCTCTCTTTTCTCTCAATTTGACAATTGTAGAACTTTCGTGCTAACTGAGTCACATCGCATAACTCACGAATTCACAAATTGTAATTGCTTGATTGAAACTAGCTACTGGACTTTTCATATTTAGTACTAGTTAAATAGTCACACATTCGTGTGACTATAACCTCCTGCTCTGCTAGATGATAATCAACCAAACTTTTGGTTTCCAAAGTATGACAATAGAAACACGGTCCCTTGTATATGATTATTCGATTTGCTGGTGGCTTTGATCTGGGGATTAGTCAAGCACCTCAGTTAGTGGAAAAAAAATAATCACGTTCAGAATCCAACCCAGGCAAGGACCGAAGCATTAACTCCGATTGTGGAATCATTCATAAAACTAAAAGTCCTTGAAAAAATTTCAAGCTTAATTAGAACAGAACATGGGATATTTATTTACCAGAGAAGTAAGAGAAAGAAAATTGATAGGGGCTGAAGTAAAAAACAGCAGGAATGCAGACATGAGAAAGAATACTGATAAGGGCCGAAGTACCAAATGCTTTTATTGCTAATTTGGATGTCTTAATACCCTGAATATGTGATGTCACAGCCGCATATCGGCATGAGTTTCAAAAAACATTCTCCTGCATGTGTGCGCCTAAACAGAATTAGCTGCTTAATGAGCTGGGGTTCACCACCCAGGATAACCTTCACTAAGCTCCGCCACTAGACGGAGTTAGTACGAAATGAAGTGGCGGAGTTAGTACAAAATAAAAGGGTATCACTCCTTTGTTTTACTTTAATTTGGATCGAGTTAAGGCTGATGCAAGTATTTAAGTTTGGACTGAGGGTGCAAATAGGATGGAAATATATGAAGTATAGATAAAAAATATTTTGAACCGGGTTGTTAGGCACCCCCTCAGTTCCACTCTACGACCAAGCAACCGTCTGGTCTACTATTCTTGGGCCATTTCGTGAATTCAGACATGATCAAACCATCCGATTATCTTTCTCTTTTGCAGGACAAATATAAATTTGTCTGTACGGCAGCACAGTACTACTGTACTAGCAGAAAATAAAATCAATAGAGTTGCGATTTTGCTATATATTTGTCGACAAATTTTTCCCCCAAAATTTGACAGATGTAATTACAGTACAATCGTAGTGTAATTACACTGTAACTTGCATGTAATTACACTGTAACTATAGTGTAACTTGTATGTAACTTTCAAAAATCTCTCCGTTACATGTTATTTCGGTAAAATGGAGGTCGTGGGAACAAATTCTTTCATATATGTGTGTGCTATGATTTGTTTTCTTCCTCACCAAAACAAATCTTGTAATAGATCCAACGATTCAAAATTATGTGAAACTTACATATAAGTTACACTGTAGTTACATGCAAGTTACAGTGTAATTACATATAAGTTACAGTGTAATTACACTACGATTGTACTATAATTACATCTGTCAAATTTTTAGGGAAAAATTTGTCGACAAATGTATAGGTAGTCCCATAGAGTTGCTATAGACTATTGACCAAGGTCTCTCCCACTCCCCGCTCTATAGATACATGTCCATATCGTCCGAAGCTTCCTACTCAAACATTTCTCAATTAACCTCCATTGGATTAAATAATTGATCTTCGAGTTGGTCTCGTGAAGTCTGCAACGCAAGTCCCTATCTTGGGCAACAAGAACAAACAATTTGGCATACATGTGCCAATCCATGGCCTTACACACTCTTTAGTACAGTTCACAATATTTTAGCATTCATCTCAGAGTAGGACTTTCAATTAAACAATTCAACATCTCTGAACTCTGAAGCGCAGATAGGCAGATAGCTCAACATATAAAAGCAGTAGCAAATGCATGTCCATATATGTCAACCAACAGCGAAAGTAGCAATTAATTCAGTCAGTTGAAATGGAGTTCTACGCCTATTCCATGCTCCTCATCCTGCCTCTGATACTGTACATGTCCTACCACCTCACAAGAACCCTAGCCGAGAAGAAGCCCACCACCCATGGCCTCAAGGCACACCCGCTGCTCGGCCACCTCCCGGCCTTCGTCAGGAACAGCCACCGCTTCCTTGATTGGTCGACGGAGCTCATCGCCGGCAGCCCGGAGATGAGGATTGGATTGTGGATCCCCGGGATGCGGAGCGGCATCGTCACCGGCAACCCGGCCGACGTCGAGCACATCCTGCGCACCAACTTCGCAAACTATCCCAAGGGCCAGCACGCCATTGGCATGCTCGAGGATTTCCTCGGCCATGGCCTCTTCAACTCCGACGGCGAGCAGTGGCTCTGGCAGCGCAAGAACGCCAGCTACGAGTTCAGCAAGCGCTCCCTGCGCAAGTTCGTCGTCGACGTCGTGCAGGCCGAGGTCGCCAACCGCCTGCTCCCGCTGCTCCGCCGCGCTGCCGGTGATGGTGTCGGTGGTGATGCCGTCGTCCTCGACTTGCAGGACGTGCTCCAGCGATTCGGGTTCGACACCATCTGTATGGTGGCGTTCGGGCATGACCCGCGCTGCCTCGCCGACGGCGGGGTCCTGGAGGAGGCCAAGTCGGAGTTCATGCACAACTTCGGCGAGGCGCTGGACCTCGTCATCGGCCGCTTCATGGACCCCATCGAGGTCTCCTGGAAGATCAAGAAGTGGCTCAACATCGGCACCGAGCGCCGCCTGAAGAAAGCCATCGCCGACGTCCATGCCTTCGCCATGGACATTGTCCGCGCCCGGCGCCAGAGCGCGTCCGTGAAAGACAGAGACGACGTCTTGTCAAGGTTCGTGGCGAGCGACGAGTACAGAGACGAGGTCCTCCGCGACATCGTCCTCAGCTTCCTCGTCGCCGGCCGTGAGACGACGTCGTCGGGGCTGACGTGGTTCTTCTGGCTGTTGTCATCCCGGCCCGACGTCGTGGCGCGGATCGCCGACGAGGTCCGCGCGGTGAGGAAGGCGACCGGCACGCGCCCCGGCGAACCATTCGGGTTCGACACGCTCCGGGAGATGCACTACCTCCACGCCGCGCTCACGGAGTCGATGCGGCTGTACCCGCCGGTGCCGACCGACCCGCAGTCGTGCGCGGCGGACGACACACTCCCCGACGGCACGTTCGTCCGCGCCGGCTGGTTCGTGAACTACAGCGCGTACGCCATGGGGAGGCTCGCCGCCATATGGGGCGAGGACTGCATGGAGTACAGGCCGGAGCGATGGCTCGGCGACGACGGCGCGTTCCAGCCGGCGAGCCCGTTCCGGTTCACGGTGTTCCACGCGGGGCCGAGGATGTGCCTCGGGAAGGAGATGGCGTACGTGCAGATGAAGTCCATAGTTGCTAACGTGCTTGAGGAGTTGGTGGTCGACGTCGTCAAGGAGGTCGCCGGCGGGGGCGCGCCGGAGCATGTGTTCTCTATATCGCTGAGGATGAAGGGTGGCTTACCTGTGAAGATAAGGAGAAAGGGTGAATGTGTTTAGGGGATGGTGAATTGGTGATTCTAATTGCCACTGAATTAACAGGAGAACTATCTTATCGTTGTGTTTCTTACTTGAACACTGTTGTTGAAAGATGAACGCTTGTTTTGGTGGATGAAAACAGAAATAGTACTTGTGTACTTGTGTGTATTAATTGTTTTTTTAATACTCTTACAGTGCATCCCTTGAAAACTATTTTTAGGTTACAGCCCTAACAACTAATTTTAGTTTTAGCGTACTTGTAGAGACTTTTGCATTCTTGTCCCCTTGATGGGAACGTTTAAGGTGGTGTTTGGATCTCCTGAAGAAAAGATAAAGATAAAGATTAAGTGTTTTACGTAAAACGAGGTGGTAATAACGTGTGATTAAATGAGGCATATTCCTGTCTTTAGCCCTCCTTACTTGCTCTCATTGGGCCTTAGTGGGCTAGATGCGGGCCACTGGCTGGTTGGCTCCTAGATTTAGTGTCCACATTGTGCATCGTTGCACTTCACCGGACTTGTGATCGGCTTCGTTGTGCTTCGCCACACACCGTTCAGCTTTGCCATGTCGCACCTAGCTTTGCCTGGCTTCGTTGTTGTCAAAGTATGAAACTCCTCCAACGGGGAAGTAAGCACCCCACCCTCCCCCCCTCCTCCTCCTCCCTTGAGATATCTGGTAAGGAACGGAACGCCCTATGTGGAACCGAGCCAACGATTTGGATTAAGGTCCAAGTGAGAGATGAAGTGAGGAAGTGGAGGGAGAGATTTAGATAGTTTCGGGTCGCTTGGAGGCATAATACCCTACTCTTGTGTTCTTTGGTGAATGGTGATGGTGGAAATTATAGTGAGTTCTTCGAGTGTGTTCTAAGTAGGAGAAGATGAGCCATTGTTCCCTATCATGTGGCTAAAATCTAACTTAGCCCCCCTCCTCTTTGGTGGCATGGATCCTTCTTTTATATTTCAAGGGGAGTCCACAGGGACATACATGTAGGAGTGGGACCTACTCCACTATGTTTGGTGTACCTGGTCTTTGTCGATGTCCATCAGTCTAGTCGGAGTTAAGTGTTTCTCCTATTGTTGTTGGAAGGAGGGTGCCCATAGTCAAAAGGGCACCCCTGCCCCTACTATTTGTGGGTCCGTGGGGGGGGAGGTGATGTCCTGCACAGGCACCCCACACCCCCACACTTTTCACGTTCTCGAGGGGATGTGTATAAGACAAGTTGGTATATGTCACTGTAAGATCAAAGTGTGTTTTGATCCTCATTCTGTGATGAACAATTGGCATATGTGATTATTGGTTTTGATATTTGGAGATTATCGTCGAAGTGGTTTTGGAGATAATCAATTTTCAGGTGATGATCGGATTCTGTTATTTTATGTGTCCGGTCCGACCGGGCGGAGGTTGCCGGTCAGACCGGCTCTATGTGTGCGGTCAGACCGGCCAGGCCCGCGGTCTGACCGGTCGACGCTGTGTCGGTTTCGGTTTCGGGTTGTTTCTTTGGATATCCGTGATTGTTTCGTGGTTATGGCTTCTAGATGGATTCTATACGTATGTAATACTGTTGTTTGCTACTAATGAGTCAAATTGGGGATAGCTTGGTCTTGGAATATGATTTCTTTGTTTGTTTCATGTGTAGGTGACTCGATGCCTCGGGAGAGTATTTGCGGTGATGGACCGGGAGTCGGCTTGGTGGTAAGACGATGTCCGTGGTGGTCAGATATCATGCGGGATACT